GTGATATGGAACCTTGTAGTACAATTTCAGAAATATCCAAACACTTACACACAAGTTATTGTCATGAAACTAGAAAAATGCTTGTTTTTTGCCCCTTTTTTTGGCCCCTAATTCCTAAAATTTTGAGGCAATTACCCCCAAAATCAATTACAGCCTTCCCTTTGTGATATGGAACCTTGTGGTACAATGTCAGAGAGATCCATACTCTTACACACAAGTTATTGTCTGGAAGTTACAAAAATGCTTACTTTTGGCCCCTTTTTGGCCCCTTTTTGGCCCCTAATTCCTTAAATGTTGGTACCATAACCCCCAAAATCAATCCCAACCTTCCTTTTGTGGTATTGAACCTTATGGTAAAATTTCATGGAGATCTTTTCACTTAAACTAAAGTTAGAGTGCGAAAACCAATGTGTCTTCGGACGACGCCAGACGACGACGACGCCGACGACGACGCCAACGTCATACCAATATACGACCAAAAAATTTTTAATTTTTGCGGTCGTATAAAAATCTATCAAATATGCCACTAAACATCACTTTTCAGATGGTTTTTGTCTAAATTGGACGTGTCCGCATTCGTGTTTAGTCTCAACCTTTTTATATTTTATGTATCATCTTCAAATACAACATATATTTAAATATCAAGACTGAACACAAGTGCGGCCACTTCTATTTTAGACAAAAAACGTCTAAAATTAGAACAAATGCTTAAATTGTGATGATTTTGCATGAATTAATAATGCTAATACCTGATGCATGTGCTGTGTAATATCAAAAACAAGCCTATATTTATGTAGCAAAAGTATTCTCCTTTCCAATAAATAGCCAAAAGTTTACATTTTAACAAATTTTTGAAATGCTATATTTTGAGGCCAAAAAGTGGTCTTACCAGGCCTACTCAGTTAACAAGCCTATAGACAAACCCTAGATAATTTTCCTTAAATTTCATTCAAAGTGTGGGGAAATGATAAAATTGTAAACAGTTTCTGAGATACCATGGACTTGTTTTCAGACAATAAAAGTTACTTTATTTTAGGCACAAATGGAGTGCATACCTATAGAACCATACCTGCATAACTCCTTAACATTTTATAGTTGTACAAATTACAATAACAGAAATGAGATTAAAATAAACGCTCACACAACAGTGAGCTAAAAAATACAACATCAAGAACAAAATTCAACAATTGTATGTTAATTATTGGTGAATTAGTAAAATCTGTATCAAACATTATTTCACCAAGCTTTCATGCAGAAATGAAATAATTCCCCATGCAACTTTGTCATTTGCCAGTCAATCAACCTTCTAAAAATTTCCATTCACCAGTAATGTCACAACTTCACAAATGCTGAATTTTCTATAAATAAAAAAGTTAAAAAGAACAAAATTCACAACAAGAAACCATCTGATGCTTTATTCACTTTCTTCATATGAAAATCCTTTCTTAAACATCTTAAGTTTGATACAGTCAAAGAAGACATTTTTTTTTTATCTTATTATGACGTTTATCTTTGACTAATTTAATTTTCAATAGTTTATCAAGATGTCAGATGTAAGGGTTAGTAGATAATGTTTTTGAAAATTGGCAGATAAATTAAATTCATCAAATTATAATGAATGAGAAAAGATATGGGTTAAAAGGAAACAGTAAAGCAAAATAAAATTTATACCATCCAAAAGTCTAAATAAAATGATATGGGATCTTTAACAATGATCAAGTGCCAAAAGAAATGTTGCCCCGCAAAATGCTATCTATTGACCTCTCTGAAGATATGTTGAATAGGTTCTGTAATGTGATGAGTGTTGTACTTTCCAAACTAGGATCCTAAGATTTAATGGCTACATTTTTATACATCCCTTAGACAATTGCCAGCTCAGCAAGGGTCTTAGTATTTGTCTGTGACTCTGTATCTAATACACCTTATCACTATTCCCACTTGACCCGAGAATCTGTCCCACTTGAACTTTTGACATCATACAACAATCACTTTTCCATTGTGGCGTCAGATATTTTCTATTATGACATCAAAATTTTATGGGAACTTTGTGATGTCCAGTAATGGCGGACAAATAGCGATAAGGTGTATAGAAAGATCTCAATGTTCTGAGAAAACACTAAATTGTAAAATGATTTAAAAGAAGTGAATAATGAATGATGAAAAGAAAATTCAAGAATGATTATTTCTCTGGAATTGGATTAAAGTGTGTACAGTGACAAATAGTTGTTAACTTCTATGTCAATTGGTCTCTGGTGGAGAGTAGTCTCATTGGTAATCATAATCTTCTTATTTTTATATTTGTTAAACTTAGCAAGTTTCTGATGGAGTCCCTAATTTAAAAATTTCAAATATATATCTTCTAATAAAAATAATGGTAAATGAAATTGATTAAGTGTTTAAACAGAAAGAAGTAATTTTTTTTATTATTATTATGTTATAACCTACTGTTAGACGAAGTGCAATCAGAAACAGTCTAAATTTCAAGGAGAAATAGATTAATATACCATTGTTTTAATCTTAATTGTCTTTAAACAGAAAACACCAGGTCTATTTTCCACATCTCATCATGCTGAGTGACATTATAGCAACTTAATATGACTGTGAATAAAGCATTCAGATAACAGAAACATACAAAGACTTACCACATGTCTTCAGTTATATACTAATAGAAAATTAGAAAGATGGTTAAAATAGCTATACCATATAACCAAAAGCCAAAAACACCAGATTTTCTACTGCTGTTAATTTTACATTAATGTCTAATGCATATATAGTTGTGGAATGGGTCAAAAAGCATTCAAACTGAACATATAATCAGCCTACTGAAAAGCTCAAATGTGCTACTGAAAGGAAAATCGTCTTTTCTTCACAAATAATGAATAAAAAAACTTAAACTGCTCAAACCTTTAGTTTAAACCTCAATCAATCCAATAAATATTGATACATGTATCATATAATTGCAAATAAAGTAGTTCCCACCTCAAATAAGCATACAGAATATTAAAATATTGACACTGCAAGTAGCTTAAAGATATGTTTGACAGAAATTAAAAATTCACAAGAAACAGAATATTGCAAAACTACACTAGATGAAATAAAATCAATAACACTGAACTAAATAAGAAAAAAAGATACTGCAATTTCATAAAATAAATCATGTGTGCTTCTATTAAATAATATTGGCGAGTTTATTATTACTATTTGAATCAAATAATGAGAGTTGACATCAAGTGATAGCCAATTCTCACGAGTTGTTAAACCTATTTCTCCTACAATCAACACTCTCATTGTGTTAAAAGAAATTCCATGAATCGTTGATCTTGTCTTTTGCACATACCAGTATGACGTCATATGTCCTTTTCCGGTGTCAAACTTTAACATCAGACATTCTAAATATTTTTGTATGCTTCAGAATGTAATAAAATTTGATAAAAAGAGGATTTCCAGGTGAAAAGTGTGAGTGTTTTGTATATTATCAAAGAAATCACATATGTCGTTTGCCATGGACGAAATGTACATCGACTTAACCTTTGAAAGTTATAAATGACCTAATGAATAGCCAATGGAAATGTCGTAATATCGTCTCCTGATGCTGGATAAGCCAATCAAAATTAACGCAGTTTTTCGTATCACACTCTGTGCAGTGTGATACAAGAAATATCTCTTCATGCAAGAAATCAATAACAGGCCACAATCATAAGACAATTAAAAGAATCACCCTAAATTTGATGACAACGGGCACTGTCAAAGACCAATATAAAGTATCAGAGTTATAATATTGGTCTTGTACACAAATGACTTAATCGTATTTTAATTGATGAGTCTTCTAACCATGTTATTCAATTAAATGAATTACTATGAAAAAATATTTAAAAGAATTACAGAAAACAATATAAAGTAAAAACCACAATTATCTACTGAAAGGGAATCTCACCACACATTCATGCTACAAGAAAACCTACCTCCCAATCATCATCCAATATGTTTGTGTTCAAATGGAGAAAATTTGAGAGAAAAAAAAAATATATTTAAATTTATAATTCCAATTAAATATTTAATTTTTAAATACTTTTCTTTCTAAAATGAAGTTAATTTTAGATTTAACCTATTCAATTTAACAGAACAATTTACACATCTTAACTATGTTAGTTGTAAAACTGAAGCTTATCTAAAAGTGCAGATGCAACAGAATTTTTGAATACCATATTTGCACAGTAAGCATTGCTATATATTACCCTATCACTGATCATGCATTCATTGTCATTCCTTAATCATCATTCCATGTTTACCTGCTTTTAGAATGATCAGCCAAAGTCAACATAATTTTGGCGACGCAAACCACCTCGATAATTTTTGCCAGGAGCTGTGTGATAATGAACATGTACACTGTTATCATTGTTATACACAATGTTAATAGAATTTTCCCTTAGAGTATATCTTGTGCAAGACATTTTATTGTGTTTAAACTTTAAAAGGGTAAAGAAAATTTTCCTGATGAATTATTTTGGTTTCTTTATAATAAAAGACTTTGAAAATACTACATATACAGCTGCATTTTTTAAATGAAAGAATCTGAATGAACTATTGAAAATTTAAAATGATTAGTAGGATTTTCGTCTATAAAGCATACATTATTAGTTGTTCAAAATTGCCAGTTAATATTTTTGCTGTTGTCATACTAAATTGAAAACATAGTTTTAATAAAATGTTAAAAAATAACAATTATTATTTTGAAATTAATTCTAATTATCTACTGTTCTTAAAGAAAAGGTTACAGTATTACTAAAAAGTCCCTGAGTATTTTAGTAACCTTAATGAAAACATCTTCCATTTCTTAGCTAGGAAAAACTGGTGTTAATTGTTAAAATAATAACAACAACAAAACTGCCAAGCTGAACCACACAGTCTGTCATGCTTAAAATTCCATAGGTGGGAACAAAGCTAAAAGAAAATCAAACTGTCACGTCCTTTATGCCAAATAGCAGACTGTACTTTCCTACCTCGACTTTGTCTAGCACTAGAGGGAGACATTTGATCAGGACTTGTAAATGTCTGTTCTAATGAACTGGAACTTGCACTCTGTGGCAAGTCTGTACTTTGGTCACATACTGAAATTGAAAAATCAGAAATAAAACTTTTAACTTGTACAGCTAATTAACCTACCGGTATATGTTTTCATTCATAATCAAATAATAGTTCAGTATTGGAAGCTAATAGCCACTTTTTTTTCAGTTATGATGTTACAAAATATTGCATTAAGCCAAACAGAAAAATAAGTTGACAAAACGCTGGATTCACCAATGATAGAATTCCTTGTTTTTCATTGGATTACACATTTCCTGGGGAAATAAATCTTGAGATGCTGTATTTGCTCCTGTATGCTCACTCAATCTTGATAACAAATATGGCATTAAAATAAATGTTTGTTTATAACTGTTAAGGGATCAAGTGTTTGTATACAAAGCAAATCAAAAACTGAAATTTCTTATCAAATATGCATTGAATTTTTTCAGGAACAGCTGTTAGAGGAGTTGTGAACACTAGACATTTATACTATGCCAATAGGACTAAACATATACATGGACAATAATAGTGGATCAATTTGACATAATAACAATAAGGGACAAGGTTTAGATCAGGGGACATAACTACGTCCAGTGTTTACTCTTGTTTCATGTTAACTCGAATAATTCAAGCCCTTTCCGTGTCCGATTTTCTCCCACACGAGGGCTTGAACTCCTTATGATCATTGGCCGCGTCGTCTGCTCTCTGTGAGAGAGAGCCAATCGGCGGCGATCAGGATAATGAGTCTGCGCAACTGTCTTGTAATTGTCTTACTAAACACGTGTGTTCAATTAACACAAATCCGATAATAATTAATTAACATCAATTAACATCAGTTTACATCATTTAACATCAATTAACATCCGGAACTCCTCCTTCTTTAGCTGCCAACTTAAATCAAAATTCCCATATTGCATAGCGGTGTGAATTTTCCGGTTGACGGTCTTTATCGAGGAAGACGTTCAGGCGTTAATGTAGCCTTCGTAGATCAGCGGAATATAACGACTGAATTATTCGGGTTAGTTTCATGTGGAATGACTTAAATCATTATTATGTCAAGTCCATACACAATTGTTGTCTTTGTACTGCAATCTCAAACAGTTTTAAAAACATTTAGTGACTGTATTATCATTCTGTTTTAATAAGTGTATTTTTTAGTCATTAAAATGCCTCTTACATTGGCAAAGTAAAAATGTTATGGTTCAACATGTGTGTTGTTGAAGTCAGTCATTGAACAAGTGGCTGTGCAGCTGATTATAAAATAAAATATCAACAATATGAAAGGAATGTAATAATTCATACAATTTTATCAACAAATAAGAACAATAGGATTTGTTCAAATTTTGTAAGAGAAATAAGTTTATGTCGGTGCTCGTCTCATGGTGGTGTGTTCATTTCATGAAGAATTTAAAAAGTAGTCTCAGCAGTTGGTGTGGTTATGGCTTTATATGGTCAGTGACTGTACATCATGTTAATTTATACAGTCAATGCATTTTGACCGCTCAAAAAGAATGATTGCAGGATAAATTGGTGTTAACTTACTTGTAGAATTAGCTGGGAGAACTGGAGCAAACACACTTGCTGAGAAATCTTCAAACATTGTCATGTCTATATGGTTTTGTACTAATGTGTCGAAACCTTTGGCACGTTCCTCATAACTGATTCAATTAAGAAAAACAGTAATATAACTATTCAGTGGTAGTACAATAAATGCAAATTTGTTATAAACTTTCTCTTTCTAATCATTTCACTTCATATGAAGCAAACATATTACATAATTTTTTACTTTTAAATGATGTTAAATGACAAAACTAAATTTACATCTAAACAAATATCAGTTGGTTTCAGTTCATAAAAAAGGAAGTAATTCAATCTGTATTTATATACAGTAAGTGTTTCATAGATACTCTACAGAAAAAATATTTTTATGTATGGCCAAATAAAATCAAAGACTTTTTAAAATTTACTAAAAGGAAATAAAAATTATATTCAACCTGAAACAAGCTTCAAACTACTTTTTCACTAAAAAACATGAAAATTAAACTCAAGATTTTCAGGGTCAGTAATCCTTCAGGAACATTTGATGTTTTCTTTACTTTTGTAACTAGAAAGTAGCTTTTTAATGATTCATTTTTAAAAGTTGAGTCATTCCTTAATCAAATTGCTTTATTCACATTAAAAGAGATGAGATTTTTGTTTAGGTTTTGGGAGTACAACAATGTATTAATTAAAATCTCAAGGCTGTCTGGAAACACCAGATACAGAGTTACCTATCCGCTGTGTAACTGATAATTCTGAAAATGTACATATTAAACAAGTAACACTGCATATTATTTGCTTTACACATCAATGAATATATGTGTGTGACTTCCAATGAAGAAGTGTGCCTCCTGTGAGTTTCCTTAATAATATAAGCAGAAATAGCAAAAGTTTGGTTGAAATCATACAGCCATTGTCAAGGAGTTGTCAATTAACAAGGTGGCATGGATGATGTGGCAAGAAGATAGACGTGATCCTTATGTGTCACTGCAGCTGAATATTGTCAGGAGACACAATAATGGGAATATAAACAAAGGATACAATGAGTGATACAAGGACATTTGAGCCCTTTTAATACGACTTGCATTTATTGCAGCAGCCCTGACTAGACCGGGTAGGATTTTACGATCCACTATTGCACCATTAAAGAGAGGTCCAAAATATGGAATCTACAAAATATAAAAATAATATCAAATTATTCAGGAGGCAACTAAACATTGCCTTTGACTTAGTTTCTTTTCCATTTATATAAAATGGTAGTAACAGAAACATTTTCAACCAAATTTTTAGTAATAGTAATAGTAATGGCAATTTACGTCATTAAACATTAAATTGTAAATAAGATCATATCGTAGAATTTTCAAAAGATTTGGTAGCAATCTTTTACAGAATTTTTCAGAAATATTTTGTTAATCTTTTGGATAGTTTCCAAAGTTTGGAAATGGTGGTTTTCAGGAATACAAAGTAAAGGTACTCCAGAATAGCTTAAAAGGATGAGGAATACAAAAGCTGATCCCAATAGGATTAGATTTTTTAATTGTAAGGTGTATGACATACCTCTGCTTTCCTGATAATCTGTATTCTGTACAAACCATTAGGTAAAGGATAAATGACTATTATAACATCACCAAACTCTGTAGGTATAATACCTCTTCTATAATCACGGAAATGTTCTGACCATACAATGTGTACTTCATCATTTCCTAAATGTTTGATCTACAATAATAATATATAAACTGTTGATACAGATATCCTCTCAAACACCCAAGTCTTACTTCCAAGGTTATCATTTCTGGCAAGATTTAAACCGTTAACATAGCAATATGTCTTACCTACTTTGTAACGAAATCTAAAACAACAACATAGTAGTCTTAGTCTTAGATGCATGATTTTTTTTATTAATTGTTATTGGCTTTGCACTAGCTGTCAGTAACTGCGAGTACTCTCAGATCTGTGCTAAGTGTCTTTTTGTTGTTGGGATGTACAAGTACCCGTCCACGTCCACTTTGTGTTTTTGTTGGATGTATTTCTATTTGTATCCATCTGTTGAGTTAAGCCTTTTTCAACTGATTTTTATAGTTTGTTCTTATGTTGTACTGTTACACCACTGTCCCAGGTTAGGGGGAGGGTTGTCGCCTTCAAACTAGTTTAACCCCGCCACATTCTGTATGTACCTGTACAAAGTAAGGAACCTGTAATTCAGTGGTTGTCGTTTGTTGTTGTGTTTCATATATGTTTTTCGTTCATTATTTTGTACATAAATTAGGCCGTTAGTTTTCTCGTTTGTATTGTTTTATATTTGTCATTTCGGGGCCTTTTATAGCTAACTATGCGGTATGGGCTTTGCTCATTGTTGAAGGCTGTACAGTGACCTATAGTTGTTAATTTCTGTGTCATTTGGTCTATTGTGGAGAGTTGTCTCATTGGCAATCATACCACATTTTCTTTTTATGCATACCTTTGTATGGATTGCTTCATCTGAACCTGAGGGCATTCTGGTAGAGACATGATATATACACTCGTACAAAGAAGTAGCAAAATAAGGGGCAGTATCTCCTGTAGATTTGTTCTGGTGTAAACCTCCAAGGAATCCCTGGTGAGTTTCTAAATCAATCTGAAAACAAAATATACGTGTTTACTGTTGGAATATTATCAACTTCAGGTTTTAATGAAAGATTATGTGAAATTTTACATTTTCAAATGTTTATATATTTGTCATTTATTTCTCCAATAAATAATAAAATGCTTCGCTGAGCACAGTCTGATACGACTGCAGAGGTCGAACCCTGAACAGTTGGGGCAAATTTGGACACAATATTCAAGCTTGATACTGTCTGAATTTGGATTGTGATCAAATTTTTTACATAATATAGGTTTCTGACACAAAATAAATGTGGTCAAAGAATTTTCAAATCTATTGGGCAATACTGTGCAATGGAAGATTTCTTCTTGAAAATTTTCAAAAATTCTAAATATGAAAAATTTTGAACAAAAAATATGAATCCCCTAAAAAAATTGGAAACCCCCCCCCCCCCCCCCCCCCTCAACTTTTTGAAACCCTCCTTGGAGCAATAACCCCATTACTCAATCCCAGCCTTTCCTTTGTAGTATGGAACCTTGTAGTACAATTTTAGAGAGATCCATACACTTAAACACAAGTTATTGTCTGGAAACTAGAAAAATGCTTCTTTTTGGCCCTTTTTGGCCCCTAATTCCTACATGTTTTGGGCAATTAACCCAAACTCAATCCCAGACTTCCCTTTGTGATATGGAACCTTGTGTTATAATGTCAGAGAGATCCATTCACTTACACACAAGTTATTGTCTGGAAACTAGAAAAATGCTTGTTTTTGGCACCTTTTTGGCCCTTAATTCCTAAACTGTTGGCCCCATAACCCCTAAGATGAGTCCCAACCTTCTACTTGTGGTATTAAACATTGTGGTACAATTTAAGAGCAATCGAAATACTTATACACAAGTTATTATCCTGAAACTAGAAAAATGCTTGTTTTGGGCCCCTTTTGGGCCCTAATTCCTAAACGGTTGGGACCATCATCCCCAAAATCAATCCCAACCTTCCTTCTGTGGTATTGAACCTTCTTAAAAAATTTCATAGAGATCCATTCACTTAAACTAAAGTTATTGTCCCGGAAACAAATGTGTCTTCATACGACGACGCAGACGACGACATCATACCATTATATGATCCCAAAAAATTGTTTGCGGTCATATAACAAGCATTCAAGTAAATAGATGAAAAAGATTTATAAATATATTATTGTTGTATGAGTGGTAGAGATAGTTTTACCATTGTGTGCATTTAGAGAAAACAAACCCTAAATCATTCTAACACTTCAAATTCAACAATAAGTCTTTGAGGCTATCTCAAGAAGTCTTATCAGTCCACAATTTTGAATTAGCTTTTTTTTAAAACAAATTTTCTACAGTAAAATATACATTATCTCTGAACTCAGAATCTATCAATGAAGAAACCTTGACCTTGTTGTGACATTGTTAGGATGGAATCAAGGGTCTGAAGCAGTTATGACCTTGACTTGTAACTAGAGGTCCTGAAATCTTTCAGAAGTGGTGAACAAATCACACAATTTGTAAGCAAGAAACTAGGGTCTGCAATGTTAAACTTAGCCTGTGACGTTGACCTTCAAGCTAGAGATAATTATCTTAAAACTGTTTCTCCAGATATATGAGACCTATAGTCGTTTCTATCCATGTCATTTGGACTATTGTTGATAATTGCCTCATTGGCATTCATCAAGATCTCATTTTTTATGTACTATAAAGACAGCATTTTATCGAAAAAGGCAATAGCTTAACAAGAAATAATCATACAATAGCCAATTAAATTTTCTTACAGACTATGCATGTTTATTACAGGCCAGAAACATATTACATTAAGATATTTTTATAATAACTTAGGACATATTCGACCGACTTAATAAGTCAAATGTTAATTTTCACACTACATACCTCCCAGCCTAATCCTGATATAAAGTCTTCATACGCTTTACTTCCTCCAATATTATTTAGGATTGAGTTTTTATCTTCCTGTCCTTCTGCTACATATATCACAGCAAACTTGTGTGTTTCTCGACTGAAATATATTTTTAATATTGAATGAATATCTATAATGGTAAATTTGGTTAGAAAACATACCCTCTCCTAAATTTTCAGTTTAATAGAGCAAATTTTGAAACTGTTGGTATGCTTCATTAATTCAACAATTTTCTCATTTTTTTCTCTCACTAATACTCATGCATCTTTCATTGGGTTATGGCCATAACTTCAAACAATGATAAAAGCTCATTTTTCCAAAAGTTATTTCTAATCTGTAGCTTAGTATATCTTAAAATACTGTAATGTTCTGTTAATTCTACAGTTATGTTTTAAACTCACCACTTTTGATTATCTAAATACTTTAGCTGTCTAAGCATACTGTCAGATTTCTTCAAAAGATCAAAACTGCATCTAAAATATAAATATAATTATAATTTTACTACTCATGCCATCATAATGTAAAAATATCAAACCTCCTTTCTTAGCATATTATTTTGATGCTATGTAAATTGACATTGGCTATTACTTAGCTGCAAACTAAACAGTGAAGAAATATATACATCTATTGTTTTTAATCAGCTATCAGTTATTGAATCCATATACCTACTGAAAACAAGACCAATTGTGTCTGAAGCTCAATATAACCTACAGTGAAATAAATATTACCTTTTCTCCCATGCTAACAGCCCCATCTGATTAAGAAGCATTCTGCAAATTTGAAATGGTGATACAGGATCCTGAACCTCTAATGGCATCTGTGGCTGAGCAATCAAACTGAAATATACCAAACAACACTTATAAAAATGCCCTTTTTCACTCCATTCAAAACTATCTATATACATATAACATGCATGGTAATATGATATAATGTTAATCATCAGATAAAAGTTGCTATACACATGTAACATTCTTAGAGACATGAAGTAAATTATTCAAATGAAGTTTAAGATATATTGTTTTAGAATGTAAATCCATGCATTAATATTTGGTTTTTGAAAACAGAATCTATGTATGCATGAAGACATTTCCATTTCAGAAGAAACCTTAATATATATAGTATTGAGACAACTTGATTTTCAGTTAAAATATGCAATTTTCATTTAAAGTCTGAGAAAAGCATTTTATCAAAGAGCCATCTATTAGACTGTCTGTTATCTAATTTTTCATTATATGCTTGCATTTCGATTATTTGGCATATTATGAAAATATCTATTCTACACATAGCATGTCAAGTATAAATTAAGGTTTACTAAATTTTGACGAAAATGATCTTGTTCAGTTGATTCTGAGTTTAAAACATCTGATAGAAATTAAAACTGAACATAAGTAGTTCTAAAATTAATTAAATTAATAAAGATTTAAAAAAATTTCAGAATGAATTCTTTTGATTTTAGAGAACTTTTCAAAACTTAATGGTTATCAAACAAAATTAAAATGAATAGAGTAAAACTGCAAAGATAAAGATTTGTTATTGAAAAAGACTTTTAACTTTTTTACACTTAAGGTCAGTTTTTAAGTGATACCTAAACTAAAATTTAATCTGCATTGTCATGAAGGTGGGGAGGGGAGGACAGCCCAATAACAAACATATACTGTAAATTCAGAAATTATTGCGAGTTTTTTATCAATGCGACTGGATGAGTATCGCATTAAGAACTCACATTCTGATATTTGATGCATATATCTGTATGCAGCTTTTCCTGAAATCGTAATAATCAATCCCTCATTTACGTCCATTCTTCAAAAATAGCAATAATAAATGCACCAAATAATTTCTGAATTTACAGTAGTCTATTTAATTTACCATTACTACATCCCCTTTTGCAACTTTGTTGAAATGGTATAAAAATTATAACACTATATATGTAAAGAGTAAATTGAATGTGTCAGTCTTTTCCCATATCCTGATCCGATATAATCAATGTGATATTGCAATGTTTTTAACTATCACCACATTACCATTATTTATTTTTCAAATATCCATATCTGTAATCAGCTATTATTTCTAGATTATATCAAAACATTATGTAAAATGTCAAAGATGGAAAGCAAGAAGAAGATGATTTTTTAACAAATCTTTGTTATGTTTGTATGTTTAAATTTTCAAATTGAGAGCTTATAAGAGATTAGTCATTCATTAAGCAGTTTCAATACTATAATATTAGTTGATGCTAAAGTAACCATAACATTTTTTATCTTTTTAAATATATAACAGAGAAAGATCTGTTTTTCTCTTTTAGATATATTCACTACTATTACTGACATGGGATGATGATTGTATAAACACCTGTCTATTGTTAAACACACTACATGTTGCTCTCTAGATTTCTTTTGATTAACTTTGTTGTTAGTTTGCTGCCTTATTGACATAAACCCTACATCTTTAATTTATTTGAAAGCAGCTTACTGAGATAATTATCTCTTCTTTTCATTGTGGGGCTCAGTGGGTGAGTTGTCTAAGTGATGGTCATCTACTATGAGCACTAGTATGCCGACCCCGAGGTTGAGAGTTCAAACCGTTTTTTTGGCATAATGTATTGGACTTTGATCTTAATTGACTAAGATTGAGAGGTTTCCTGTCAAAGGCTGGTGGTTCTCTCCAGGCACTCCAACTTCCTCCACCAATAAAAACTGGCTGCCATGAATTAATCAAGCATGCTGAAAATGGCATTAAACAACGCGAATCAATCAATCACTTCATTTCTGAAACTTGTTGGTTAATGACGACAGAATTTTCTGTATGAACACACCAATATAACTCGTATAAATCCTAAAAACTTTGAAATCTGAAATTTGTCTAAATTAGATTTCAGAAAAAACAACAACTATGCTTGATATTTTTTTCTTCAAAAGGAATCAAAATAATTAATTATAAAAAGTAATCTAATTAAATAAACAATTACAATTGGTCATTTCTATCTTGTCAATTCTCCCCAAAATTTGAAAATAAATCACACTGTATGTAAAGATTAGGTCATGCCAAAAAAAAAAAAAAAAAAATGTGTAAAAGGAAAATATTAGGAAAAATATCTCAACAAGATTTTGTTTAATGTATTTTCCCCTTAAAAAACTGTTTTTAAAATCAGAATCAAAAACTATGATGTAATAAATTCCTACAAAGAATGGATAAAAAAATGTGAAACAAAAATTGGGTTTGATCATTTTCACTACCGAAAATAAAATATCTAAATAATAAGAGACAATGACAAACTAACTTCAGTCAGTGTTACATCTTACAAAGTGTATCCAAATTATTTTTGAAGATAATTCTGCTCAAGCCGGTGCTAGGGGACGTCTTAAACTTACAGTGAGGCAAGAGTTTTTTTGCTCATGTTGAAGGCCTCACTGTGACTTTGAGATGAAGAACAGCAATAAAAGCACTGTTCCTTTGCTTTTTGTGTATATTTGATGTGCATGTACTGATTTTGTGTAATGGATGGATACCCCATATCCTTTCGACCTTTGTTTTTCTATTTTATAACGGTAGTCAAAAACCATTTTGTTTAAATTAAATGTAGAGAAACTACTTCCAACTAAATAATCATATATTAGAACCAAAAACACATACACAATACAATATCAAATTAGAGGCATATATAAAAAGTGTTTTCTGTTTAACCTACTGCTTCATAAAATCTCAAATAATTATGTGCATGCTGTGTTTTCACGTAGAAAAGAAGAGAGTTAGAGAAATGAAGATAAATAATATATACTGAAACTATAAAGTATAAAACACACAGCAAACTTGTTTTATGTAAGCTATAAACCAGAGTAAATATAGCCATCTACAACTTACTTCACATTCTCCACATGTCTGATGCCAAAAAAAAATATTACACTCAGTATTTTGTGAACAAATAACAAACCAAATTTTAAAAATAAAGGAAAAGAAAATGCACTGTATGCAATTCTTAAAAGCCTAAATATAGCACTTGTCACAGCTATTCAATATTGGGTAGATGAAAAAATAAATGAATAAACAATTCCCATAAATGGCAATTCATTTATTTCAATACTGTATTCATTTATGAGAAAGTAAAAGATTCACATTATCATTAGATACAATATATGTTAGCATAAACTTTTGACTCCACAATGGTTTCTCTGCTGTTGTAAATCAGTTCCTGATAAAGTCTTTTCTATTTCCCATAATTGCTAAAATCTACACCTTTACATAAAGCTTCCACGGTCACTCATATGAAAAACATATGTCAAGATTATCTTATATTTATATGTATCTTCATTCCTATCAAAGGCATAGTATCATTCTCCTAAATGTTGCAAAAAACCGTACTTAAATTATTATCCAAAAACAAGTGTGACAGATGGATGAACAGACGTAATGACATGTGCATCATTGTTCGAGGCAGGTGTATAAAATTAGTAACATAATAGGTTTTCTGTCATGTTAAATATCAGTATCATATGACAAGACAGATATATATAAATAAAGGGTAATAAATACCAACAATTGTTAGTTCTTTTGGATATTGCTGAGGAAATTTAATAAAAGTTTCCCAAAATTCTATCATTAAATTTGTATCTACTGATTGCATGATCAATAATGGTATAAATTCCTTGAGAGTGAAAAATGTTTTCACATGGTTAAATTGAATAGGAAATAAAAACTGTAAGTTAAAGAATACGTAAACCTACTTTATAAGTTGTACCTTAACCCTTGCATAAATTTTACTATCAATACATTGCCGCAATTTAGTACCCATTCACACACAAAAAAAAACTGCAGTTCATTAGAACTGAATTGACCACATTATTCTTAGCTGCAGTTCATGCTTTCCAAATAAAATCATTACAAAATGTTATCAGAAATGAGTTTTGCATCTTGCAGCTATGCTAGAGAAGACAATAGTTGACAACATATTATGTCTTCTGCTGCAATATTTCTTTACCCAATCGTGAAAGAATTTTGTGTAAATGAGATTAAGTCACCAGTTTATGGAAACACAATTCCTAACCATTGTTGATATGACTTAGTCCAACTTTGATTAAAGCAGATACCAGTATTTACATAAAATCCTGAAATCCTGAAATTTAATTCTATTTTCTCATCAGTCACTGCATTTGAATAAAAAATTCTTTTCACAACGGATTTTACAGTATTAGTATTTGCTATCCTTATTTTCTAAAATAGTTCATAGACATGCCAGGATTCCCAAGTATTTATGTACCCAATTACCTTTGACTATTTTTATGTTTTTGGTAATATTCCAGCTCTCCAAGTTTCTGATCTATCACCATATCTGTAACAACATTTTCAGCATCTTCACTTAAACCTTCAGGTATAGGTGCTTCAACATTCAATGGTAAACCAGGTTCCAAGATACACTCAGGGCTTGTATAGCCAATATAACCTAGGAGCTGTAATAAGAAAGTATCATAGATAAAAGACATATCATCTCAGATATGATCAATGTAATCTAGAAGTTGTAGAAGAATGTGTGTTATACTTTCAAGTGTACATGAATGTCAATATAACATACTGTAAATTCAGAAATTATTGCGATGTTTTTATTATTGCGAAAAATGTGACAGGGTTATAATCGCAATAATTTAAACTCGCATTTTGAAATTTTTTATATGAATTAAACAGAATTAATCTCAATATAGCAAAAAATTAAAATCGCATTTTAGTCTAAAATGACAAAATCGCAATAATAAATGCACGCAATAATTTCTGAATTTACAGTAGTTGTTTTCTAAGTTAAATGTATGTTTACTAACTAAACACATTGCAAGAAAACTGGCAATTATTTGTGAAAACAGTTCATTTTCATGCTTTAAATTCAAAAGCATTCTCACATTTGACTGTAAACAAGGAATTTTATTGTCAGCATTTTTAAAGGTTTATGTGGCCTTAACATTGCATTCTGTAGACAATATACCTGGTCGGCACCAATCTGTTTTAAAAGAAAATTACAAAGTTTTTCAGAGATACCCACATAGTTTTTGAGGTATAGAATAATGCCCTGCAGAGAATCAGTTTGGAAATAGTAAGAAATAAATAAGATTTAGCCCGAAGTTAATTACAAGACAGTATTTTGATAAAAAAACACCATGTCTGAAATTTAAAAGTAAGCATTCCATAATCAGAAAACATGCTATAACAAATGCCAAGCGACTGCTTCACTGATTTTTTTATATGAATCAATTATTCTAAAAGGTACTTATTTACATCATTTAAATTGTCATATTCCACTTCATTATCTGTCTGGTGATAAGGAATCTGTGAAGAAGATCTATGACCAGTAATAGGGAGTATTGATGGTGGTAATTCTTCTTCCTGTATCAAAAGTGGCTCCCTCTCAATTTCAGTACAAATATCCAGCAAAGCTTTGGCATCTACAAAATATACCAAAACATTCAAATATAAGTTATTTTACTAATTATTTCCTACCAGTAAATCAATATCTATATTTTCTTTATATTCACCCATTAATTCATTAAGCTTAAGTACAAAATATCTGACCTCGAAGTAATTGGAAAATGATATAATGTGTATTCACGTGTTTTCAAAAAGAATATATTTTATTCTTTCAGTTCCATGCACAAATTGACAATTTAACACATAAATATACCTGAGCTGGAAGTAATCGACATTTACTTAGAATTCAGTCAAATTTACTTACTGTTTAAAGATGATCCCTTATTACACCATGGTGGGGCATAAAGTACAGAACTATCCCATGAGTATTTTCCAGTAAGGTCTCTCAATATCACACGACAAACAGTTCTAGCAGTGGTCAATCCTGCTGTTACTCCACCTCCTGGAGCATTTGTCTAAAATAGAAAAAAAAATTATCAAAAAAAAAGAATTCACACTTTGTTGTGCTCAGCATACTCCAAGTCATAATTCAAAGTATTATACAGTCAACTGTATGAATGGGAACCTTCATTATCAATACTGTAGATTTGTTATTATTAGTTGGATACCAATTTTCGTGGATTTCGGTGGTACAGGGAAACCACGAATTTTAATATTCAACGAATTGCAAATTTGCTGTCTTTTGAAAAACCACGAAATCAGTTATCCACGAAAAAGCAAGTTTTCCTCAATCCAGGAAAATTTGTACCCACAAAAATAAATGAATCCACAGTAGTATTTACACATTATGAGAAATAAGTACAACATATGATTTTACTCACCAATGCAGAAAGCTCTATGAATGATATCAAAGTTCTTTTGTTCAAAATGAAAAACTGAAATTATAAAAGTAAAACTTAATAACTATTCTGGATCATATAAATATTACTGTAATGTGTTGGGTTTACAAAAACAATACAGATGTTATTTGTTAGGCATGCATCACATGGGGTTCGTCATTGTTAATCTTTTTTAACATACTATTTATATTTTCTTTAAGTTCAAATTGTTCCCCATTGCTAATTTTCCTATTTTGGATGGTGATGTTCCTTTGGCACCATCTTACGGTGTTTATTTATCACAACTCATTTGCTATGCCCGTGTCTGTTGTGATGTTTTGGATTTCAATGAACGTAATCTATGTATTACTGATAAATTATTAAGACAGGGATTTCGTTACCACAAATTACTGAAAACCTTTACTAAATTCTTCCATAGATATAAAGATTTGGTTTGGAAGTTTGGTTGTACCTGTAGAAAACTTATTTTTAACGGGATAGCACATCCTAAATTTTACGGAGATGTTGTTTACCGAGCCTGGAAATTTAGATACGATCCAGGTAAACTTATCGATCCTTTAAATAAACTCATTCTAAAAGGTTACCAATTCAACACTATAATTAGATCTTTGAATATTGTTTTTATTGGTATTAATATTGATTTTGTTATCAGTAATTTAAAATCAAACTAAATATTATTTTTATATACATATGCACATTCTTGGCTCTACAATCTGAAGATACCTGTATCTTGGCATTGCACAAGGTCAAGTTTTTCTCTGACTGTTAATGACGTCTTTACACTAAATCCATTGGATGTTGGATGTGTACTGATTGATATTTTAGTCTTAGATGTATGATTTTTTTAAATAATTGTTATTGGCTTTGAACTAGCTGTCAGTAACTGCGAGTACTCTCAGATCTGTACTTAGTGTCTTTTTTTTGTGGGGATGTTTAAGTACCCTGCCACGTCCACTCTGTGTTTTTGTTAGATGTATTTCTGCTTTGGATCGATCTGATGAGTTAAGCCCTTTTTAACTGATTTTTATAGTTTGTTTTTATGTTGTACTGTTACACCACTGTCCCAGGTTAGGGGGAGGGTTGGCGCGCCTTCAAACTAGTTTAACCCAGCCACATTCTGTATGTGCATGTCCCAAGTCAGGAGCCTGTAATTCAGTAGTTGTCGTTTGTTGCTGTATATCATATTTGTTTTTCGTTCATTATTTTGTACATAAATCAGGCCGTTAGTTTTCTCGTTTGAATTGTATCAAATTTGTCATTTCGGGGCCTTTTATAGCTGACTATGCGGTATGGATTTTACTCATTGTTGAAGGCCATACGATGACCTATAGTTGTTAATTTCTGTATCTTTTGGTCTCTTGTGGAGAGTTGGCAATCATACCACATCTTCTTATCTTTATATGTATCAAAAGACGGCTTACACAATTACAAATATATATCATTCAAGAGTTCTTATTTCAAAATCTCAAATGTATTACATTTTTTATTTAATAACTTGCAACTTTATTGTCACAACATCAAAAATATCAAGTTAGTTGGTAATAACTGATATTAGAAAGTTAGAAAATAAAGATATAAATAAATCATATATTAATTGAATTACAATTGGAAAATTTTATAGTGTCAAGACAACAGCTCAAAAAGAGAAAAGCTATCCTGTAAAATTCAAACAATAAAACTGATGTGAAACCTATGATACTAACCTGCAAGTTTGGTGAGAAGAACAGATCTGACTTGAGGTCATCACAGGTCATGTCTTCCCAGTCATGGTATTCCTGTATAGAACTGTTTATTCTGGATGCTCCTGATCCCATTGGGAAATGGCACAAATGGTTGACTAGATGATTTATAAGCTGTACAAAAGATAAATCAGTTCTGAATATTTGCTGATACATTCGTTTTATGTATTTTTTACATTCAGTATAAATTTGCTAATTACACTGCCATCTTCTGTTTCCCATTCTGGGTAAAAAATCTGGCTATATCTATAAACTAAGAAGGTACTGAAAGCTGATATATTATGCTACATGCATGAACTTTTTCTGAATCCAGATCTTTTACATGTGTGAAACTAATTAAAACATGATAAAAGAATAAGAAGAATGTTTCCATGGTTAACAGATTCCCTTGCTTGTAAATATACAGCAAATTCTGCAACTTTTCAATTAACAAAGGGACATCACTCAAGAATTGTGAAAGTGACACTACCGAAATTCAACCTTGACCTTTGTTTGCTGGTAATAGACATTGTGTATAAGTTTTATAACATTTGGTTAAGGTAAACTAGTTAGAGTGCAGAAACGGCAAATTTATCAATTTTTCCATTAATAAAGGGACATAACTTGAGAACTGTGAAAGTGACACCATCCAAATTCAAACTTATCTGAGTTTGGTGGTAATAAGCATTGTGTATAAGTTTCATAACATTTGGTTGCGATAAACTAAAGTTAGAGAACAGAAACTAGTTTTGGGACGTTTGGGCAGACAGTCGATGGGCATACAGGGGTAAAACTTAATGCCCTTAATTAATCTAAATAATGCAGAAGGTAAATAAACCATTTTTTTTATTTTGAAAGACTGTACATTGACTGTAAATAATATCAGTAATGTACACAAATTGTATATCTTTGTTTTAAGCAGCAGTTAAAATTATATAAAATATATTTCAAGCAGAATGAAATACAAAATAACTACTATGTTAGTAATTTACATAATTAACTTCTTTAGTTGCAATTATGTTTGTATGACTTACTGTTTTAGCGGCCAGTTTGACTGTATCAAGAGATTCTGGTTTAGGACTATCTGTTGACCGACTAGACATCTTATCTGGACTAGGCCTCCTGGTATAATTAGATGTCAGATCTCGTAAGTTATCAAAATCTGCATCTTGTATCATACCAATCAGTGACTGCTTTACTTGATTCAGTGTTTCCTCAGTATGACCAGAAACACCATAATTCAACATCTAAAAGTAAAATGTCAATGTTAGAATGATTATCATTCCATAAAACTATATTGATCACATGCTTATTTGTAGAGTAAAACTAAACTTATTTTCTTACTTATTTTAATAAAAAAAGAATCATCAAGTGAACTATTACCACAAAATAGGATATATAACTTACTATTGTTTGTATTCAAACTGTTAAATCAAAAAATGAAAAGAAAAATATCAAAAATATGTAAATTATTTTTAATCTTAAAGAACCAAAATTGGATATAAAGCTTATTATCTTAAACAGTTTTTGCATTTAAATGGTTAAATCAGAAATGAAAAAAATGTCAACCAATAACTGGTATAACTTGGGGAAAAAAATTGTCTTCTGGCATTTCTTATCAATATTTTCTTTCTTCTGGGTCTTTCTACTATCAAATTATAAAATATTCCAAAAACAAAAAAGACAAAGGGAATGGTGTATTAATGTAAAGGCTTAGAATATGATTGTCAGTACCTGAAAGACTTTATATATACATCCTTTATCAGAATCTGTTGTTTCTAGAAGTGAATTAATAGGCATTTTCATACACCAATCCACAACACAGAACATCATAGAAATGATTAGCTGTAATACAAAACAAATATATGAATAAGAACATCAGAGAAATGATTATCTGTAATACAAAACAAATATATGGATATGAACACCATAGAAATGATTAGCTGTAATACAAAACAAATATATGAGAAAGAACATCAGAGAAATGATTAGCTGTAATACAAACAAATATATATGAATAAGTACATCAGAGAAATGATTAGCTGTAATACAAACAAATATATATGAATAAGAACATCAGAGAAATGATTAGCTGTAATACAAACAAATATATATGAATAAGTACATCAGAGAAATGATTAGCTGTAATACAAACAAATATATATGAATAAGAACATCAGAGAAATGATTAGCTGTAATACAAACAAATATATGAATAAGAACATCATAGAAATGATTAGCTGTAATACAAACAAATATATATGAATAAGTACATCAGAGAAATGATTAGCTGTAATACAAACAAATATATATGAATAAGAACATCAGAGAAATGATTAGCTGTAATACAAAACAAATATATATGAATAAGAACATCAGAGAAATGATTAGCTGTAATACAAAACAAATATATATGAATAAGAACATCAGAGAAATGATTAGCTGTAATACAAACAAATATATGAATAAGAACATCAGAGAAATGATTAGCTGTAATACAAACAAATATATGAATAAGAACATCAGAGAAATGATTAGCTGTAATACAAACAAATATATGAATAAGAACATCAGAGAAATGATTAGCTGTAATACAAAACAAATATATGGATAAGAACACCATAGAAATGATTAGCTGTAATACAAAAAAAAAATATATGAATAAGAACATCAGAGAAATGATATGTTGTAATGCAAAGAACTATATAAACAGTCCAAATCATTAACATAACTACACAAATTACTACTGGTATTTTTCATTCGATCTTTTTGGATACACTTTAGATATTCTGTAAGGAACTCAAATTATAGGTTACTAAGATTTAATAAGAATGAACACATTGTTGTGTTAAGCATATCCCTCTTCATATTTCAAAGTATGGGAAAATAAAAAGTAGGTGTCAGAGTGATCTGAAAAGCATTCATACATTAGAACTGATCACTTGAGAAGCTGACCAAAGCTGAAGTCATTCTGTTCAGTAGTACTGAAGAACTATGCAAAGAAACGCTTTAACTACAATCAAAATAGCCAATATTTCAAAGTATCAGGAAGAAGGTGACTACCTGATACGAAAAGTTCTCACATGTTTCAATATATCACTGTCAAACTGCTGACGGGACATGAACATAGTTGGTAAAATCATTTGGTTTTGGTAGATAGTTGTCTCATTGGCAATCATACCACATCTGACAAGGTAAGTGTAATACAAAATCAAACGTAACAGTATTAAATTAGTTCTACATTCTTAATTTACAATAAAGGACCTTACCTTTTTTTCCTCATCAGAATTTGAAACTCCAGACACAGGAATTAAAGTTGATACTGTAGCCATCACAACCTGCATAAAAATAAGTGTAATGATATAAGCATTTCGAAGTCAATGCTGTATTTTTATCACTTAAATTGTCTGATGTACTAAATGTAATTGACCTATTACTTATAGCATCTAAGAAGCAGAACTAACCAAAAAATTAATGTTGACCAATGATCCATGAAAATGAGGTCAAGGTCACACGAACCTTGTGAGACAGACATATGCATCTAACAAAACTATCAATCCAGTTACAGAACAATAAAAATGAGGCCAATGATAGAGGACATAAGCCAGACCAAAACTTCAGACCATACGGCATCTGTATATGAAACTACCTTCTGGAAATATGTTTATTTTACAAACAGTTAACATCTCTGTCAGACAAGCTTCACTTTGTCCCAAATTCTGAGATTGCACTACAAATTTTTTCTAACACAATCAAACATACCTAATGAAAGTTAGTGTTTTTACTGTAACCCTCAAAACTTCTTTTATAAAGCAATCAAAAGGTATCACAATAAACTGAAGTTAAGTTTGATTTAAATATTTAACCATTTATATTGGAGATTGATGGTACCACATTATATGGACCTTTAAGTCGAGTGACTAAATAATTTCTGATATTCTAACCTCAATAATTCTCTTTGGTAATTCTGGATGATAATCAAGTAATACTTTTATATGATCCACCAACATTGCTAACATATCTGTAGCAACCCTAGCAACACTTCTGTTCACACACTGTAAATACAAATAATTCTTTTAACAAACGAAAATTTTTAAAATATGTTTTTTTAAATGCATTCTTGGTACATTTTGTATTGTTCATGAACATAATATCTCTTTTCTTTTGGTTAAGTTTCCTTTTCTTGACAGTAATGTGCAGTTGGATCCTTCATGCATTTCTCAGTTTATTCCACATGCACATTTGCAGTGACTTGTCAGATTTCAATGAACACAATATTTTCAATACTTAATAGTATAGCACAACCAATGTCAAAAATTGGTCAAACTCCATCTAATCACAAATAGGATTTATTGTGGATGTATGATAGAATTTGCAAGTATAATTTCAAACCAAGTTATTTATGGTCATACATACTATTTGTAAATAAAATATAAATATAAAAATTGTCATTCAAATCATTCTTTTGGGGCCTTTGGGTTAAAATTAACATCCTGCCTTGGTTCAAATTATCATATAAAATATACTGATGTACAGTGCTTGCTATTAAGGAATAATTTTCATATCAGAAAATTCAGCAATTTGAAATTGTTTCCAGTATTTCAGTATATTTTGATACAGTATTTAAGTATTGTTTCTCTTATACCTGTTTTGTTGTTGCTGTCTGTAATACTCTAACAGCACACAAAAGGATTTTCTAATCTAATTTTTATTGTATGTTCTTTTTGTATTTATTTCTTGCCAACACTATAATACAACAAAATTTGCCATCACCTGTAAGATAAATAAAATCATCCCACCTCCCTCATATTTTTGTGGAAGGACGGTGAGAATTTGCACATTAAAAATTATGTGGCAAACTCAAAACTACAGTCTATTTTGAAAAGATTAAGAGAACTTACCCTTAGATTGCCAAAGATGACAATAAAGGCCTCATTAAGTTTAGGGTGTAATGTACCATGACTTAATTCTTCATACAGAAATATACCAATCCCACTAACTGCTACTGATCTATTAGAAATAAAATATAACATTGTCAATTCAACATTTTCATAAAAAATCTGCTCACTTTGGTTGTTTTCAAAAGCCTTATTCACACACACAAAACAAAACAAAATTATTTTAATCAAGCTTTGTGCCATGATTTGATACACAATATTCTTTTTTATAAGGAATATCAGATATTCTACTTTCCTGAATATCCATGAATTATCAACATGTGACCAATTCTCATCAAATTTTAAACTGATCTTAGTAGAAAAGCATAGATTATGCTAAGAATTTTTACAATAACAGACATTAAGTGATGGAAAATCTATCAACTTCAGTTTAGCCATCTAAAAAGAGTGTACTCCATGAAAAATTATCATCTGGGAAAAGAATATTTACCTAGCATATCCACTTTGTTCTTTCTTTCCAGCTCTTAGGAGATGAATCATTATCTGTTCCTACAGAAAACAATAAAATGCTCCGCTGGGGCGCAGCTTGATACGACCGCAGAGGTCGAACCCTGAACAGTTGGGGCAAGTATGGACACAACATTCAAGCTTGATACAGCACTGAATTTGGATTGTAATTAAATATTTGACACAGCATAGGTTTCTCACACAGAATGAAAGTAGTCTAAGAACTTAAAATTTTTTAATTTACCTATTCAAACCATATCATTATTATTTGCTTTTATATATAAATCAGAAATAACCAATTTAAAATGGAAAATTTTAAAGAAAAAAAAGGGAAAAAAAATCCCCCCCCCAAATTTTTTGAAACCCCTTATGATTCATCACCCCCAAACTCAATCCCAGCCTTCCCTTTGTGGTATGGTACCTTGCAGTACAATTTCAGAGAGATCCATACACTTGAACACAAATTATTGTCTGGAAACTAGAAAAATGCTTGGGTTTTTTGCACCTTTTTGGCCCCAAATTCCTAAAAGTTTAGGGCAATTACCCCCAAACTCAAACCAAGCTTTCCCTTTGTGATATGGAACCTTGCAGTACAATGTCATAAAGATCCATACACTTACACACAAGTTATTGTCATGAAACTAGAAAAATGCTTGTTTTTTTGCCCCTTTATGGCCCCTAATTCCTAAAATTTGGAGGCAATTACCCCCAAAATCAATCCCAGCATTCAATCCCTCAATCAGCATCATTTAACAGTAATATCTAAAAATGGAAATTACATAATAAAGGTATTAAAATAGAAAATGACATCATAGTCATGGCTAAAAAAAAACAAAATCCTTAATCAGCAACATTTTACAGTAATATCTAAAAATAAAATTCCTGGTTAACCATAAAAGCCCATTTAAATACATCATGACAGATATTAAAATAGAAAATGACATCATAGTCATGGCTAAACATAGCAAAAACCTTAATCAGCATCATTTAACAGTAATATCTAAAAATAAAAATTTCTTTGCAACCATAAAAGTAAAATAGAAAATGACATCATAATCATAGCTAAAAATAAACAAAATTTTTTTTTATTACCAAATTTTAAATGGAGTTTATTAAACTAAAACAATAAATTTGCAACCATAAAACCCCATTTAAACACATCATAAAAGTATTAAATAATTCAACTACATCATAAGGCTATAAAAATAGAAAATGACTTCATAGTCAAGGCTAAAGGTAAACAAAAAACCTTCATCAGCAAAATTTTATATTGGCAAATTTCCAATGAAGTTTATTATACTAAAATTGTTGGCAAATTTCCAATGCATTTATTAACAATAAAGTTATTGGCAAATTTCCAATTTACATAATTTAAAAGCAGTGTAAGTGAGATATTTAAATGAGTTTGAATTACCAACCTTACACTGCTTTTAAATAATGTTTTGTACTTATTTGTCTATTAACCTGGAAACCCTTGTTTTTTCACCTTTTTTTCCCTTATTATTTAAAGGTTTGAGCCATAACCCTACCCCAAAGCCAATTCTTAAATTCCAATGTAACCTAAATTTACAATATACATAACTTCAATTTAAGTTTTTGATAAAATCAAACCACATCATTATTATTTGCTTTTATATCTAAATCAGAAATAATTAACCAACTTTAAGTGGAAAATTTTCACACATCACGCCCCCCCAAACTCAATCCCAGCCTTCAGTTTGTGGTATGGTACCTTGCAGTACAATTTCACAGAGATCCAATTACTTAAACACAATTAATTGTTGGAAACTAAAAAAAAATGCTTATTTTTAACCCCTTTTTTAGCCCCTTATTCCTAAACATTTGAGCAATTATCCCCCAAACTCAATTCCAACTTTCTCTTTGTGATCAGAATTAACCAACTTAAAATGGAAAATTTTAAAGAAAAAAAAAAGGAAAAAAATCCCCCCCCCCAAAAAATTTTTTGACCCACTTCCCTTTGTGGTATGGTACCTTTAAGTACAATTTCAGAGAAATCCATACACTTGAACACAAGTTAATGTCTGGAAACTAAAAAAATGCTTATTTTTGCCCCCTTTTTTGGCCACTTATTAATAAATGTTTTGGGCAAACATTTTACAATAATATTTAAAACTGAAATTAATTTGTAACCTTAAAATTAAATAGAAAATGACATCATAGTCATAGCTAAAAATAAACAAACTATTGGTAAATTTCCAATGGAGTTTATTATATTAAAACAATAAATTTGCAACCATAAAAGCGCATTAAAATACATCATAAAAGTATTAAAAAAAATTTAACTACATCATAAGGCTATTAAAATAGAAAATGACATCATAGTCAGACTAAAGGTAAACAAAAAACCTTCATCAGCAAAATTTTATATTGGCAAATTTCCAATGAAGTTTATTATACTAAAATAATTGGCAAATTTCCAATTTACATAATTCAAACATAGTGCAGGTGAGATATTTAAATGAGTTTGAATTACCAACCTTACACTGCTTTTAAATAATGTTCTTTACTCAATTATTTGTCTATTAAAATGGAAACCCTAGTTTTTTAACCTTTTTTCCCCTTATTCCTTAAACGAAAAAAAATAATTACCCCTTTTTTGACCCCCCCCCCCTATGATTCATCACCCCCCTTCCCCCCCAAACCAAACTCAATAACAGCCTTGCCTTTGTGGTATGGTACCTTGTAATACAATTTTAGAGAGATCCATACACTTGAACACAAGTTATTGTCTAGAAACTAAAAAATGCTTATTTTTCACCCCTTTTTAGGCCCCTTATTACTAAACGTTTTGGGCAATTACCACAAAACTCAATTCCAGCTTTCCCTTTGCGAAATGGAACCTTGTAGTAAAATTTCAGAAAGATCCATACACTTACACACAAGTTATTGTCATGAAACTAGAAAAATGCTTGTTTTTTGCCCCCTTTTGGCCCCTTATTCCTAAAATTTCGAGGAAATTAACCCCAAAATCAATCCCATCATCGACCCTTTGTGATATGGAATCTTGTAGTACAATGCCAAAGAGATCCATACAATAACACACAAGTTATGTCTGGAAGTTACAAAAATGCTTATTTTCAGCCCCTTTTTGGCCCCTAATTATTTAACTGTTGGTACCATAACCCCCAAAATCAATCCCCACCTTCCTATTGTGGTATTGAACCTTATGGTAAAATTTCATAGAGATCCATTCACTTAAACTAAAGTTAGAGTGCGAAAACCATTGTGTATTCGGACGACGACGCCGGACGACGACGCCAACGTCATACCAATATACGACCACAAAATTTTTTTGCGGTCGTATAAAAATAACAGTAACAAGCATTCTGTGAGTATTGCCTGGCAATACATAGTCCCCTACCTGTTAAATATTCATTGTACTGGAACAAAATGCTAACTTGATCTATAACTTGTCATGGTGTAAACCATATAACAAATATCAAGTCAATATCTTCAAGCATGACGAAAAAAAAATGGGAAAAATTGATTATTTGAGTGAATTTTCTAAGTCCAAGGACCATAACTCTGCACAAAATAATCAGACTGGGACAAAATAAAAGCTTGATCTGTAACTTGTCATGGTAAAACTTTATACCAATTATCAAATCAATATCTTCAAGCATGACAAAAAAAAGTGCGGAAAACTGATTGAGTGAATTTTCTAACTTCAAGGACCACAACTCTGCACAAAATCGTCAGACCAGAACAAAATTCGAACTTGATCTGTAACTTGTCAATATAAAACAATACACCAAATATCAAATCAATATCTTCAAGCATGAAGAAAAAAATTGTGGAAAACTGATTTGCCGGACTGACGGATGAACAGACAGACGGAGTGCAAACCTAAAGTCCCCTTCGACTTCGTCGGTAGGGGACTAATAAGCAGCAAAGCCAAGAGTGCATGAAAAGCACTACTTGGGTATATCAAAATTGTTGCCAGAATAAAATTAAATATTAAGAACTATCAGAATTTAGCAAAATGGCTCTGTAGAAAAACTTGCATGAAGATATCCTTCTGGGTAAAAATATTGCCTTAAATATGTGTTAAACAAGTTCCATAACTCTTGAATGACAAACCAGAAAGTTTACATAATCAAAAGCAAGCCTGCATTAGCCAATTCAAAAGGGGGCCTAACTCTAGAATGGTAAGTGACTCACTGCCCAAATTCAAACTCTGTCTGCAAGTTTAGGTTCTTAGCATTGTGTATGAGTTTCATACAATTTGCATGAAGCAAACTTAAGTAAGATTGCTGAAATGAAAATGGGACAGGATGGTCAAGGGTACCACTTAATACCCGTTGCCACCAACAGGGGCATAAAAATTCCAAAAAGAGGCTATTCTTTAATCAATTTTAACAATTGTGTACAGTTTCCAGAAATAGATCTAAGGATACTAAAGTTATAGTACAACATGAAAAATAAAAACAAAAATTCAATGATCAGTAAAACTGAGCAGATTATAACTGGCACCAGCAAGAAAGTTTGATGATCCAACATCTTATGGTACAAGAGATTTTACTTTAATGTACACCTTTTTCAAAGCCATTCAAGCATGAAGAATATGTCACACTAAAGTACTCACTAAGTCCAACTGCATATAAGTTATAAAGTAAAAAATACTTGACAGTAGTACCTTAAAATCTTTTGACTGTAGCTTTTTCAGCATAAGATAATTGGAGTCTATCACTTGAAATTCTGTAAAGTGATTAGGAAAACAAGTCAGGCCTCCTAATATGGACACAGCTTCTGGTCTTGGACACTGAAATACAAAATTTTTTTTTGCCATAATACATGTATTTACCAATTATTAATTGTAATTTATATTACTATAATTATTGCTTATCTGATAAAACCAATTTTGTTGCAAGAAACATGGTTTAATACTATTTTCTCTTCTACTACAAATGATATCAACATCTTATGCAATATTCCTGTCCTCAAGTATTATAAATACAAAATTTTGTTAGATGTCAAATAATTAATATTCAACTCAAAGTCCCATATCTGATTTATAAAATACTAAAATGTATGTCCAAATTATGATAAGTCCAAAAGAAACAATTAACAGTTTATGGACTTATCATGATGTATCAGAACTTCATGGAGGCAATCTAATTAACCATACATATAATGCCAAAGGTCATATGACCCGATATAAATATAAATATGAATTTAAATACACACACAAGCACCTGCAATCGCATAATGACAATTTTTCTAGGTCTGTTTGATTTCATGTGATATATTAAAAAAATATGTAAATAATAGCTTGACCTTAATCTGTTTGATTTTATGTCATAGATTAAAAATTATCAATGATTTTTTTTGGGCAGAATTGAAATGGTTTTTCCCAGTGGCTCCTAGTTTGAATTTACATGTTGATCTTCTTAACTTTTTTCTATTTAATGAATATATATACTGCTTTGTACTAGATTATGTAGGATTTTAACATCCTAGCAGACAAGGTAAGTCTTCAGGAAGACATATCAACCTTCTTAGAAACAGTATTCTGTCTTTGCTCCAATCAGTCAATGCTCTTAATCTTATTGCTTGGTTGAGGAGTATAAAATATCAATTGTTAAATCTTTTGTTTTAAGCAAGACATCGCATCAAACAAAAATCTTATGGTAGAGGCGAGAATAATTCCATGAGATCATCGATGCACTTTTTCATACAAAGTTGGTCCACATGAACTGAGTTCTTTTTTTCCAACATGAATTAATTCTGACCACAGAACATGGAAAATTCATGATTAGCAATAACCTTATTAAGTATACGTACTGAGTTGATATCGACAGCTGAAATAACAGCTCCTGCTGCCTGTATAAAGTCTAATACTAATAATGAAGATCCTGTTACAGACATTGACAGAAACTTCACGCCACAATATTTTACCAATACATTGATAATATCCTACAAATAATACAAAGAATATGTTACTCATTAGATAATTACAAGGAGGGTGAAAATCAATTAGACAACAACCGAACACAAAAGAAATCCCAAAAGTCCTACAGGTCAATAAAATAACATGTTCACACTATTTAAGAAATAAGCCCTTTATAAAGTTCATAGATTCAATATTTAACTCAGCAAATTTCATAAAAAATGAAAAATAATTAATTGTTGGGCCAATTTGACCCCAAATCAAAACTTTTCCAGTGATAAAAGCAATATGAAGTGTAATTAACTAGAACTGTGGGTAAACTTTCAAAAAAATATCCCCATTCCCCAAATTCAGTTAACTCGCCTTAAACATGAATTGGGATTATATTCCTAAATGCACATCCTCAGGTAGTGTTCTGCAACAGAGTAAAGATTTATCACTACCAGTCTTACATTTAGGAAGAGTTGCGCTTATAAAAGACTATTATATATTGAAGCAATTATGTTAGATTATCTCCCCTTAAACATTTTGGAATGGAATCATATTCCTTCATGAACATCCTCAGGTAGTGTTCTACAGCTTTGTCAAGTTTCTTCAATATTCGTCTAGCTATTTAGGAGGAGTTGTGCTTAGGAGAGACTATTACAAACATATATATAGTTATAAAGTCTGAAATTGCTTGGACATCTGACAGCCTTTTCAGTACTTGTTGGGCTGTGGGATGTCAGAATGTATCCCATATAAAAAACTTGGAAATTGCAGACCCAGACTTGAGGTAACAAGTTTCTATCTCGAAATTTTAAAATATCTCTTATCAAGTAGATAATTCATATCTTTTGATTCCTTTTTCATTTTACATACCTGATCATTTGACACTAATCCTCTGTGTAATAAGAGATAAAACTGTGAGGCCATTTCTGAAGGAACAGGTACATCGTGTCGTTGAACTATCATCTGACACAACAGTTGGTATGCTAACAACTTTCCTCTCTTGTATTTATTGGACAAGGATAGACACTATAAACATGAAATGAAATTAATCATTATTATTAATTGCAATGAAAACTTTTAATTTTAATGAAAATCAAGTTTTTTAAGGTATTTTTATTCAGGTGATTTTTGCTATATAACTAGTGGAGGCGATATAAAATTTGTAATGCTTTCTTCCCAAAAGGAATGATGGCCAAGCCTTATAGGCAGTTGGTCATATCATAAAGATGTTGGCCAAGCCATGTAAGTAGTTATCATATCTATCTGGTCAATCACCAATTTAGTAAGATTCATACCTGGATCCTGTCATAAGCATAATAAATCTAACCCTATCTAATAAAGTTTGTCAAATAGATGCCTTAGTTCAGTTGTCTACTCTCATTTTTACAACTAATATACGGTGGATTTATTTATTTTCTTGTTTATCATTTTTTAATGGATTGAGAAAACATGCACATTACTGCAGCAACTATATTCAAGTATATTATAATATATTACCTCAAAAAGCCATGGTGCAAAATAAAACAGTGGTGGTATATATTCTGATGGCAATGGTGATGACAAATTGTCTAATGATACACCTGCATTCTCTTTCATCTAGAAAATAGATATAATACAAATATTGCAATAAATTTCTATGTACAGGATTTTGTGATTTAATCAACTTTTTAATTGAGATAAAAGTATATCTATACAAATTTCTGCATAATTGTTGAATGTATAAAAATAATAAATGGGGAATGTGTCCATGGGACACAGATGATGCCCCCCCTCCCCCCCGCTTGCATAGCATATAAAGTTATAAAGGGACATAATTGAAGAACGTTAAAGTGACGATACCCAAATTTGTACTTGATCTGAGTTTTGTGGTAATAAGTATTGTGTATAAGTCTCATTACATTTGGTTGAGGCTAACATAAGTTAGAGAACAGAAACGAAAAATTCAGCAAGTTTTCCATTTGTAAACAGGCAAAACTCTAGGACGGTTAAAGTGACAACACAAAAATTCAAACTTGATCTGCATTTTGTGGTAATAAGCATTATGTATAAGTTTCATAACATTTGGTTATGTACAGACGTACAAGGGTAAAACTTAATGCCCCCTCCGCTACCGGGGGGGGGGGGGGGGGGGGGGGGGGGGGGCATAAAAAGAAAGTATCCAGCAAAGTTCAAATGAATTGGATGTATGTATTTTTTCAGCGTTTCAAAAGTCTGTTGCTATTTTTCTTGTACACTCTCTTTCAATTTCTTTTGTTAATGGATTTGCTTAGCTGCTAGAGTTGTCTACCTTCGTGTCTGAATTTTTTTTTCACCTGGATGAAAGGATCTGTTATTTACCTTATTCATTGTTTCGATCAATAAACTGAGTTCTTCAAACACAAGTGCATGATTTTCTGCATCTTCTATTTTATTGACTCCTCCTAAAGTTCCTAGCATGCGTCTCCACAACCCTACTGCGACATCTGGTGTCCATCCTGTTACCAAGCCTCCAGCTAACACCCCTTTCATATCCTCTAAGGATTCTGACACTACAATGATAAAACATACAAATAAGGTTCACTAATTCAAACCTAAAATTAAAATTTTGCTGTAATTTAGTCTTCTAGCACTGAAGTAAAACAAACACTAATCAATCAATCAATAAAAACTTCCGTTTATACTCTACATAATGTTAATGAAAGAATTAGGCCTACCAATATAATCTTATGTTGCAGTAACACCTACCAATATAATCTTATGTTGCAGTAACACCTACCAATATAATCTTATGTTGCAGTAACACCTACCAATATAATCTTATGTTGCAGTAACACCTACCAATATAATCTTATGTTGCAGTAACACCTACCAATATAATCTTATGTTGCAGTAACATTATATTTATGTTTTAATAAAAACCATTTACATACAATGATACATTCAAGTAAATAAAGAAAAGATAATTTCCCTAGTTGCTAAATTGGAACATATCTTTTATATATATACCACTTCTTACACAATAATTATCTCTAATTCATATCCATATAAAACATGTTTCAATATGGAAGACTTGTTTCTTTTTTTTCTTACCTGTAGCTAGATGAGATTCATCTGAGGCAACAACCATTTCTATATGTAGACTGTCTCTGTCTGCTGTTGGACTGTCTTTGTGAAGTACTTGGTTTTCTACATTTAATTCACATATGGGTGAAGGAGTTCTAGAATTGACAGATCCAGGTGATGGAGATCTGGAATCTAAAAATACCAATGATATCAAAGTTTTTACCCAAACCATAATCTGTTTGTAGAGAATTGATATAGATATACCATAATCTCATGACTTACTGCAGTGTAGGCAATACCAGGAAATAATGTGAGCAAACTTTTGACTATGTACCACAGGAAATATTACAAAGTTATCAAGTACATCTTATAACAAAAATTTTAACTATCTTGACTGTATTGTTTATAACCTACATCTTTTATCAAAGTTAATGTCTGTACTTTCATCCAGTAGCTTATCTGCATCCTCCAAAGAAGACATGGTAATGGAGGCCACCTCCTGGTCTTCTGAGCCTGCTGTAAATAAATAAAATATAATTTACAAAGTTTTGCTATAATGTATTTCTTTTGAAAAAATTAAATTGTAATATACTCATTAAACTATTGATTTACATTAAACCTTTAATTTCCAGTTTCATTTCAGATGGATTCAATTTTATAACTAAAGAAACTTTTCCACATTCTCCTTGCTGGTCATACGACAACAAAGAATATAGGTATGAGATGGGGAAACATGTTGAGGAAATTATTTCCACAAATTCTTTTACTTCAACATAAAAGGATTAAATCTATAATATGAAAACATTTCATATACTAATGAAAAGAATACAGGTAAAATAAAACAACTGTAAACATATACATGTCAAAAGTCAAAATCGGAAAATTTAAGTTGACAATGGTATCTTCATATAAGCACATTACTAAATAATCCATTTACAATATAACAGAAAAATAATAACCTAACCAATAAATGTAACACCTGTATTTAATCGAAATTTTCTTTAAAGACCATCTTCATTTGTTTTTATACAAATTACTATTCAAATCAGCCAAATTGAAAATTCAGATATAACTTTTTCTTTAATTCTTAAATAATAGTATCCCTAACCACATATACAATATCTCCATCATTTATAATGCATTTAAAAATTTTGTTTAGTAGCTTATGGGAGATTTGTTTAAATCATTTCACTATATCAATAACATATGTCCTTGATTTTTTTACATGGAAAAATATTAGTGTATAATGTTGTGATTAAATTGATATACCTAGACAATGTTTACATTATGTTATATAGACCTGAACAATATACTCATAATTTACTCACAGTATTATTTGTAGATATTATATTAGCATCATTTATAAGTTATACATGAGAAAGGAACAAGTTCAGTGAATTATTATAGATTAAAAAGATTAAAAACAAAAGAATTATAAAACCTGTATTATAATACTTTAATACAGGAAAGATGTAACAGGAAGACTCTTATAGAAATGTTAATAATAATAATAATGTAAATAAAGATATCATCATCAGCAAAGACTCAGATTTGATATGTTTAAAGGATCACCTTGTAAAAATGTCATGCCTTTCGTATCTAAGTAAAAAAAGCAATTTTCATAGTTACCACTCTTCATTCCAAAGAATGAAAGAAATACATCTTCCACACTCCAAGATTTTCCATAATTACGGGTAACTTTAAATAATTTTAAAAAGTGAAGTATCAGTACCAATATCAAATGAATTTTAGGAAGGAATGCTTCAGCTTTTATCTAAAACAACTAAATAAATCAAACCTACCCCACATGATCATTCCTGACAGTTAACTCACCTCGAAGTCTCCTGATAATTTTTTTCCACATTTGAAACTGATGACCATTCTATTGAAAAAGACTTTTACGTGAATGTGACAAAATTAACCCTAAGTAGCCAGATCTATCAACAAACACTCTTAAACACTTGGATGACCTTCAGCTATATATATGTACAGTATATACTTTTAATATTATCAATAATGCACATACTACCTATAAGAGTTTTTACAAGTATTTTTAACTTGAGTATATTGACAATTTCCTTGTATCAGGTGGTGAATAACTGAGGGTCTACACCTGGTAAGAAAAATCTCCACAATGTTTTGTTATGACATCTTAGACAGTATCTAAAAAGTCTGAATGGTAATTATGGTGCAAAAAATTAACTTATGTTCATGGAGATTTTAAAAGACCTTGGTACTTCAGCAGGTGAAGAGGTTTTTAAAATGCAGAAAAACCCTTTGAAAATACAAACAAGAAAGAACATGGGATTTTCCATAGTTAGGTGGGTATATATTCCATACCCAACCTTTAGCTGGGTTGACCAAATAAAAGTGTTGAAATCTTCCTCAACAAAATGTCACAGGGTCCAAAAAAGACCCTGGAAAAGTTCCACCTTTTTCTTGTCTACAACAGCAATATTTTGTGTATTTCACAATTTTACAAAATTTGTAGATCATTAATTATAGAATAACTAATCGAAGAATTCAAATAGAGAAAAATATTCAACAAGTGACCGAACAACACATTAATTCACGAATGCGCGTAGCGCATGAGTTAATTATCAGTGCTGTTCGGTCACGAGTTGAATATTTTTCGATATTTGAATTCTTTGATTAGTTATTCTTTTTATTACATTGGCAAATGGCTTTTTTTAATGAAATTAATGTAGAAAATGTAAGGAACTATATCTTTTTTCTACGCATTCACAATTTGTTTTGATCCGACGTTATCGACGTCTTGACAACGCCTATTGTTGTATGACGTCACAGAGTGAAATAACCACGTTTATTTCACATGTGAAATTATCGGTTTTTATTTGACTGGGAAATCAATATAATTCAATGCTACCAATGTAATAAATCATTTTAGCAAAGACAAATACATTGTTAAGACAATTTTAACAAAATACAAAGTTGATCAGTGCAGGTCAAGACACTTTTCTAATTGAAAGAAGATATACAAATTTTGAAAATTATCCAAAGCTAGGTGATCAGAATAATGTCATGTGATTGTTTTAAAATCAGTTTTTCTCTTCATCGTCCTTCAAGTACAGTTGCTTTTTCGTGAAATATTTAAAATTTTCTCACTTAAAGTATATTTGAATTTTTGACAATTAGTTCTCCATATCCTATGGTTTGGTTTGCACCAGTTAATTTAATGAAATATGAAAATCAGCCAATCAAAGACAATGTTAGAAATGCTTAAGATGGATTAAACAGATATAAATCTGTCACATAATCTCTGTTTTTAAAGAAAGTAAATCCTGCAAATGAAATATCCATACTTAATAGTATTTAAAGAAAATTCTTAATTCAAAGCTTTGTATAATATCTATATCAATTTCTTACTTACCTGAAGATTAGACTTTCTTCCACTTAAGAGTTCTTGGTTTTTTTTGTTATTTTGTTTTTGTTTTTAGAAAATGTTTAATTATAGCATCCGTTATTAAATCCTTACATTTTAATGTTTCCTTTGTTCTATTTTTTTTGTGATAATGACTTCTTTGTTGCAACTTTGATGCATACAAATATTACTTTAATTGATTTTCAAGTGGTTTATTACAGACAAGGTTTATATTTTTAAACATCAAAAAAATTTATCAGATAAAATACTAATAGTGCTAAAAATTCGGGAAAATATAATGCAATATTTATTTGTTTTAGCTTTGATTTAATAGGGATTTGATTACTTTATGATTACCAATTTGAACATTAATTCCATTTTGTAATTTTCATATATGACCCTTTGCTGCTTCTGATAGTCTCCCTTGATTGCTTTACATATACTTCAGTAGTATCAATCAAAATGTGGATCTAATCTTAAGCTTGAAACAACCTAAGCATCAATATATCTCTCAATGCACTGAGTTGACTTTACAATTACATAACTGATCTCTTGGAAAATAAGATGCTTTAAACACTGTTAAACTCTTTAAGTTATAGAAATAAATTTGCACTTACAATAAATTATACTAAAAATAAAATAGTATATAATATAAACTTTGTTATGAGAAATCTATTGTAAAGCCACCATTTTCAAATAGTAACACTTAATTACAGATTTATTTACTTTACTTTTTCTAATAACTTTAAAATTTGGCCAATTCAGTCATATCAGCCATGTACAATTTTTCAGCAATATAACAATCAGTCATGAAAGTAGCTCAGAAAAATACAGGGTTTTAAAATGATATAACTATACATGTATCTATTGTTAGTAAAAAATTGTTACAAATTATTGTCCATAAAGAAAACTCTGAAGAATATATCAACCAAATATTTATAAATTCCCAATGACAGCAGTTAATCTACATTTAATCATGAAATAAGTTTCAGTACCCATTTCTGCTAAAGTCTTCATATTGGATACATAGTCTTGATAAAAGTTAGCAAAATAAACATTTAAATATTAGATGGGATGGGAAGCTTAAAACTCACCTTTTTTTTGAACATTTTCTATCATTCAGAAACTAAAAAACAATTTTTTTTTCTAGAGGCATAACTAATGAGCAGTAAATGTCAAATTCATTAAAATCAAATTTCCCTTGTTATTTATAGTCCATGACATTATGATAGAATATAAAAAGATTTTGTCAAGTGGTACTTTAGTTATCATCCAGACACCAGAAAAAAAATCCTCATTTCAAAAATAATTTACTAATTTACTCTTGAATGTTAAATGCCAAAACTGTCAAAATTAAACTTGACCTGTATTTTATTTATCACGACTTTTGAGTTAAGATCTTAAAAGATTCTGTCAAGTGGTACTAATATAGATCCTATGTCCACGCTTCTGTTACAAGGATCTGACAACGCACTGTTTTACTTTCAGTTTTTAAGAACTTTAAGGATCCTCTGGTTTTGTTGTAATGATACAAACCTTCAAAAATTTGGAGGCAGATATTTGATCGGCTGATATAAAAATTACCGGAATAGAAAGAAGAACCAAGTGTTTTCAGATGTTTGTGAGCAAAGTGTAAATACAGGATCTGTATTTCAATCATAGTTTTGTTCTAAAATCGTAAATTTTTTGTGAACCTGTATTTTAAATATTGTCTGGAAACCAAAAAATCCATATGTTAAAGATAACTAAGGGGCATTACTCTTGAACAGTAAATGTCAAAACTGCAAAATGGAAGGAACATGACATGTATTTTATGGTTCATAACATAGTGTTTACATTATAAACCATGAAACAAAAAATGTAAGAGATGGACGAACAACCAGACATGTGTATCACTTTATATCCCTACCTCACTCTTTGATGAGAGGGTATATAATTCCCAATTTTATTTCTCAATTTTCTTTGACAAAAAATTGACTGAGTACTCAAAAGGAAGGGTAAGAAATCTGCTTTTCTCTGATCTTGCCAGATTATTGTCACTTCATTGAAGGGAAGTTGACACATTTTCAAAGAAGACAAATGTTAACATAAGAATAAAGTTTAATGTCCTGTTGTTTCTAGTTTTGATTAAGATGATGTTGTAATGATTGAATCTAATCAAAGGAAATACATTTTGGAAATAGAAACACATCTCAAAGTTACCCATTGAAAAGTTACTTAATAAATGTATTTGTCCTTTGTGCAAGTTTGATAATCACAATGGATATGATATGGTCTGATGTGACGGTTCATCTGGCCCAGGTTGTAAAGTGAGGTGACCATAGAGTTATTTATGCTAAAGGAGGTCATTTCATTCAAGGCCAATAAAGAAGAAAATGGATTACATACTGTCAATTTTGGCACATAGCCAAACTGAAAACATTTTAAAAATTTTTATTTAAAAATGGTTGAATCTTTCTCGGAAGAGTTTATGTTTTTTTACGAGAACCCCAAAAATTTATTGCAATAGTTGTACAATTTAATTATATTAATTTGAGTCATTTTTCCTGCATTGATTATTCTTATCTCTATAAAAACATTGCAGCTTCAATCAAATTATCTTTAAAAAATGTTGATCTATTGTTTTCAAAATACAAATGGAAACATTACATGATCACCTACAAATCTCCAGAATATTTCTTTATGGACACCAAAATTAGTAATATAGGGATTAAAAAATATGTGCATTGAACATACCCGCTGAAACATTACCAGGTGGAGATTGAATAATAGTAATGTCACATGCTGAATCCAAAATAAATGATGTTTCAGCAAATACCCCTATTAGAAAATATTGAAAATAAACTTAATTCAAAAAATTAAAACAAAATAACAAACCAAAATTATTAAATATGTATAAAATAGCACTCGTTTGTGATAATGATAATAATAAAATTAGTATGAAACCAAAATTGCAGCCAAATGTTTGTTAATTCTATACATGCTTTTTGATCTGAAAAAAAAACATGCACTTTTTGGGGGATGGTGGGATGTTGTTGTTGTTGAAAAATAGTTCCACAACTCTGGGTGGAACAGGTAAAAACCATCAAAATCTCAGGGGAGCTAAACTTTACTCATCCTAAGGTTATGTTTAAATTTCATAGTGAAAGATGAAAGAAAATGTGTGAAAAAATAAATCATTTGGAAAAAAATTCCAATTTTTATGCTAAGTTCAATATCTCAGGATACCTTCAGCTTCCTCAAAATAATTGTATGGTGTTGAGCATGGGCCAAAGTAAATTGTGTTTTTTTTTTATGTAATCTGATACAACCTTTTGATTGAACTATAAGTGCACAATGTTATACCATTAAATAGGTGATGTTGTTGGTTGTATAAGAGTATGTCAGTATCATAATTACTTAAAATATTAATATACATATATATATATTGAAACAAATGCAAACTTAATGTGTACCTACTCTGACATTATACAGCTCAACACAAAATACCAAAGCAAAATAAAGCTTGAACTTCAAAGAAAAATCTTAAATGAAAAACTTAATTTGCAAGGAAATTACATTTGTGGTGTTTAAGTAGAAATCACTTTTGGTAAAGGTGTGTGCAACTGACACAACACAGTTTGAACTGTTGCATTGTAAGATTAAACTCAAGCATCTGGAATATTGACAAAAGGATCAGATTGTCAAATTTATGAAACCAACAGGTCATATAATTCCTGCTTTTCAAGTGTTTTAACTTTGACCATTATAGGTCTCAAAAACATTGATGTGTACATCTGCACCATTTGAGGCAAGCCTTAATAATTATTGAAAGGCAACTACAGGATGGAACCCGTATATGCTTTTATTATCAGATAACCAATTACAAACTTTTACATTTTCAGTCATTGGTTATGTTTACTGCCTACTATTTCAAGATGTCCTTTCCATCATTACTGCCAGTTTCGGATTTTATGCCTACTTCTTGTGTTACTAGTGTTGTGTCCCTTCCCATCTTACATTTTACAAATATTATAGGCTGATGGGAAAACTCAATTTCAACGAGATCTTTGATAAACACTAAAGATGGTTTTTTGAATCATCAGAATATTTAAAAATTTTAAATATTAGAATATTCATTTAAACTAAAATTAAGAAAATATAACGAGTGACTCTGCTGTATTCACAAATATCTATTTATAGTGTCCTCACAGTTTACTTCTAGTATGATAGAAAATGGAACTCAATCTTATAATTCACACAGCACTTGATTGGCTTTAGGTTCCCACATTTGTATGTGTATATTTGAAAAGTTTGAAGTTAAACAAGATGTACTGTGAGCTACTGCTCACTGATGATACCCAGGCTATAAGTATCAGTATTCAGGAAGTTAATGAGCAATTGATGTGAAAACAGGATATCATGCTCACATGATGCTAAATACCAAATTTTCAGGAAGCTCTGATTTGTAGTTCCTGAGAAACAAGGAAAATTTCATAGGACAGACAGACAGATGAGGTAAAGAAGTATACCCCTATCTCTTAGTGAGTATAAAATGATATTTGTAATGATCAAATTCTAAAGCGTGTATCTAAAAAACATACACTGAACCAACATATGCAAACAGTTAATATCCCTGTGAAAATTTGCCATCATTATTTGTCTTTATTATATAAAATCCCAGGGTAGTGAATGGACATATCATTCTCTGTTAGTTAACTTTATGAAAGTATTATGTTCTAAAATCTATTTATCTCTTTCTTCGAAGCATTTAATATGTCTGTATTGTTGTCAAATCAGTATTTTTTTCATATAGGTCAAAAGATACATTATGATGTTTGTAAATCAGTTTAAGATCAAGACCAAAACCAAAGCCAGATTGCCAATGAATGTTTTTGAGTAATATCAAATATAGAGAGACAGGAAGACAATGTTTTGTATTATTTGGGTCAGTGAATGTACAGTACCTTCTTTACATCAATCACTTGTGCAGCTTTATTTGGAATGAAATGTTTATTTATTTTTTCATTAAAAAATATACAATACTTATTCAAGCATGCTCAATACACATCCTATCCTGTAGCTGTTATAAACTAAAAGCACACTCTAATGACATATTCTATATTTCACTATGACAGTTTACCGGCATATCATAACAGCATATCCAACTATTTAACAGCAATATAATACAATGTTACATCCCAATGTCAAGTTATGGTAAATTCAAAGTACACTTTAATAAAAAATAATATTTACCATTTTCTACATCATTGCTTTTGTCTTCATCTTTTGGTGAAGCAAGTGTTGTGCTTCCTGAAACATAACAATGACTTACATGTTACAAAATGTTCAAAATATAACATCATTTAGAATATCTTTTCAATTATTACAATTAACGACTTCTGTTTAGAGGCACATGCCATGGTAAATTAACTTCTTATTTCTTTCATACTTCAATATTTCCAGAGAAAAAAGTCCATGCAGATTTATGAAAACACTCAAAAATGCTTTCCAATGATAGTATTATTATTATTTCTAAGTGGACTAATGACTTTAAAAGTATTATTTTCTTTCAGTGTCAACTCAAGTTTATTACAAATATGAAGTCAGAATATCATTAACAAATTAGGCCAAATAATTCCATAATCAAACATTGATTTTTTCAAACAATTACTTCAACAGCATTTAAATAAATTGATGAAAACCAAGGTTACCATAAATTACACACAAAGTAAATGCCATGTTGCTTATGTTTAGATTTCTGCAGTACATTAGTTTTCTCAGAGTCTCAATGGGGAAATCAAAGGGAAAGATGATGTATTCATCAGTAAAAGTATGACTAGCTGCACAGTACTTTTAAGTAACAACTATAGACTACTAACAGCCATAACTGCTCCCTATTAAGGCAATAATTCCTATCAGCAGTCAATTGATGGTTGAAATCATATTGACACTTTTCAAAATCTCTTTTGTCACTTAAATTTTATGCTATATCAACATACAAGTTTCTGTCTATCTATTAAAAGTTTTCAAGATAATTGAATGAAACATGCTTGAATTTGTAAAACAAAAATCATTATTTAGAGGCAATAACTCCTGTTAGGTTATTGATGGTTTCAGCCACAATGGTATTTTTCGTAAATCTTGTTTTGCTGATCATTGTTGCTGTGTTACAGTCTACAGTTTCTGCCTTAGTATTGATTAAATTTTCAAAATTGGTCAAAAATCTTAATTATTATGTGCAAAGAAACATCCAAGTCTGTCAGAACTTTCATCACAGACAAAAACAAGCAAAACCCTAATATGTTTTCAAAAGTTTATCATAATGAACATGTGATCTTAGTTTCAGGCTGATGTGACTACAACTTTATGGTAAATTACCTTAAACCAAAACTCTCAGTAAACCGTGAAATCTGGGTCAAAACCTTAATTTGGCACATATTTCAAAAAGATCACATCATAATTAAAAACAAAAATTGTGAGTTGAAATAACAAGGAGTTGCATGTGCAAATAATATCCCATTAGTAATTGGACATTAACAAAAAAAGTTCATGCTCAGCGTGTATAAAAAATATAAATATTTTAAAACAGGAAGTGTCTGTCTGCCCAGAAGATCAGAAAATAGCTTACACAGTACGTATCACTTAAATAAAGTTCCAGACAAAATATCAAATCATTAATTTATACAGAAGCTGAGAAATAAGTGATGAAAATGTTCTTGCCCAGTAGGTATTATGAAAATTTATTAAAGAATCTTCAAACTGGAAGTTACTACCTAGCAGAACTAAAAATTACTCACTACAACTCATTTGAAATAAAGTTATAGATCATACATCTGATATTTATTTAATATAATGCAGAGTAAAATTTATCAAAAATAATGGACAAATGGACAAAAGATAGGACAGACAAGGTTAATACAGTATCCCACCCACTCTGAGTTGAAGTATAAAATGTTTAAACAGAATATAAACAAAACTCAAAATAAAGGAAAATAAACGGAGTCTTACTGTTTCATTGGTAAAATTCTTACATGAACAGCTTACAATATCTTGATAAAGATGACTAGATTTAGTAGATCAGATCAGTTACAAGAAAATATGGATTCTTGAAACAGAATAACTGCCTTACAATACAAAAACAGCACAGTTGATTCAAGTATCCGATAGGAAATGCAATAAGCAATGTAACTTTTGGTACCAATTTATCCTCTTCATTTTTACAAATTCATGGTCAAATGGTAATCTAAAACATACACTATGTCATGCACAAGCAACACTTTATTTACCACACACATATTTTTCAGTTTCAAAATGTTCAAAGTTTGAGAAAACATGAATGCAAGTCAAGAAACAAATTTTTGAAGTACAAAAAAGTGTTATGTCCCCTTACTTTTAATTATTTGAAACTTACAGTAGCTCCGCACCATTCACTACTGATAATTACAATAAATATCAATAAATTTACATCTGAACATTATAATTATGATCAGACCCATCTATTTAATTTCCACTGCTTATCCTGTTGACTCATCATGTATTGGTTGTGGCACATATTTCAAAATGATACTGTCTGTTTTATAACATTTTTTCATGGAATCTGAAGCATCCAATGTTACCAATTTACCTTAATGGTGAAGTTTAACAAAATGCTTCAAAAAGTGACCTTACCCTTCAATTGCTCTAAAAACTCTACTGGGTCAGTAAAAAAATTTTCAGTTGTTTTTGAGTGGACGTACAGAGCTGTATCTGAAGCATTTGAAGGTGTTCTAGAGTGAGTAGGTGAGGCAACATTGCTGCTTGATCTTTGTTTTCCTAAATCAGGTCTGGATCTACTTCCTCCTGCTCCTACAAACAATCACATTCAACACTACATATCAATGTTAATGACTACTACATGCTTACTACATCAACTATCTATTACACACAAATATCAAACAATGTTGTTATGTACATCACTGTACACAGGTATATGCATGTTAAAAAAAATCAATATAATTTTTTTAGTTTGGTTAAAACGTAATAAGAAATTATATCAAACAATACAGATCTTACACACTATGTAACTTTTCAATGATATGGGTTCTAGATTTTCAGGTTATTCCCAAGCTAATGTCAATACATTCAAAGGCTTATCATACATAAGAAACTTCTATAACAACGACTGGCTATAAATCAATATTCTGGATTTAAATGCAAAAAAGCCAAAATTTGGGAAATCACTGAAAATAATAAGATGCTAACAGGGATATGTCTTGCTTTGTATTAATGCATAACTCAAATTTAAACAATTATTGACACTGTTGATGTATCTTTGAAACCGACTTAACCACAAAAACTTAACATTGACCAAGGGCTTCCAAAAAATATTTGTGCCAGCCGGACATTTTTTGTCATATCCCGATTTTAATCCCTTAAGACTAAGTAACAAAAGGCAAGCATGGTAATCAGTTGGTCATCATATAAAAAATGATTGACATAAAAACGATATTAAACTTGACTATTGATACAAATTGGATGTACTGACATAAACTGTTAAATTGACAGTGCATCATTCGAAGTGTGCAACATTATCATACTAGTATCTGTCTTAGAAATTTTATTTGTGCAAAATTACGTTTTCAAAAAACTTTACTTTTGTTTTTAGAAGGCACATATTCTTAAAACCAGATGTTGACTTGACAATGGTAAATAACGGACAAGAGACGTATTCGTAAAATTTGTGTATGTTTACAAAGCACGATTAAGTTTAAGTAGTTCTTTCCACATTATTCCTTCAAGAAAATACTTGAAATGGACGTTAGATAAAGGTATCAATGATAATTTTAGCATTTTTGAAGAATTCGGATACATAATTAAATCTCACACCTGCGCACATGCACACGCATGTACTAGTTCAAACAACGTGGTTCTGACGATTTTTCACTTAAAACCTTTATAACTACCTTTTTAAATGTTTCATCAAATCAGATTTATACACATATTTTTGATAATCTAAATCTTTTTGACTAAATTAATTAGATGAAAACCATTGAAATTTATGAAAATAAAGTTAGAGACCAATCAGTGTCTGGTACAAAATAATTTACCTGTTGCCTGAACAGGTAAATTTCAACTGTCAGACAACCAATCAACCTCGATTGTAATGAGACGGTATTATAGTAGGGTTTGTATTGATAGTACTTATTGCATGTCACTTTTATGACAGGAAATGTGTGGCTGTTTAAGGCAAAAGGTCAGGTCAAACTTCAATTTTTTTCTGAATTATGTTAAAATGGCAAACTCACGTTAAATGTCTGTTTCAGGTAGGCACAACAAGTTAAAAAAATAATTCAAGTCCAGACAATACGACCATTTTGGAAGCCCTGCATTGACCAATCAATTATGAAAATGAGGTCAAGGCAGGGATGGGCACGATTACTCACACATGTAATCGATTAATAATCGATTACGTGAAGGATTTTTGTGCAATCAATTAATAATCGATTACTCTGATTTTTGTATGTAATCGATTGCAATCGATTACTTTATCAAAAGTAATTATATTACTTTACGATTACTGTCAATTACATGCTATAAAATAATGAAGAAAGCTTAAACACAATTATGTTGCTCAACTTATTTATAGTGGAAATTTAGAACTGTACAAAAACAGATTTTAAAGCATTGTTTCCAAATGTTATGCTGACAGTTGTTTTCTAGATGGAAGCTCTAACAGAGGATTTAAACTATTTAAAAATTCTTGAGTGAGTGATGATAAACATGAGAACATTCTTGAAATGACATCGACCATTAATTGCATCAATCGCTTCTTTATATTGTAGGTCATTTTCTTCATAGTTTGCAAATTTTTGCTGTCATACTGACTTAAGTTTGATATTTACTCATTATTAACAGGTATATTTGAATATAATTCATTGCAATGTGAGAGGTTTCCTCTGAAAAAAATTATATAAAAAAGAAGAAGAATTAGTTCAGCTAATTTTAAAAGATGGAAATTTATAATTACATGTATGAATTTATCCTTTTGTTTGGATAATCCCCCTAATTACAGGTTATAAAACTGCCAATGGAGAACAATTTATAACCTAGGGCAATATAATATATTAAATCTCTCACTTAATTAGACATAATTAAAATCAAAACAAAGTCTGTATCTCATTGATTAGAAGTCTATGATCATCTGATCAGTAAACGGGTAAAAACAAGAAGGTTGTTGAGAATTCTTTGTTCTCTATATATATTCAAAATCATAAACAATATACATTTTAGTGTCAAAATGGGATACAATGTCATGTATCTATTACCAAACAAACATTTCAATGCATTGGTTCATTGTCAAAAGGGTTTTGTATTCTTTCCTAATTTTGATATCATAACATTATGACTAATCAACAGTTTATCTATTCTAAGCTAAAATTCTAACTCTTATTGAAAATTATGCTTTAAGGAATTGTATTACAAATAAGCTTACTACTTCAATGTAGTATAGAACTTAACTTAGGACTACATGTATTTTCCTATTTTGAATTTATTTTCTTATTTTTAAAATTTTTTTGTTTAATATAAAAGGTCTTAAATTATTGACAAGCGTTTCAAAAGCTGGAAATATAGTAAAATTTGTAAGATCTGGTTAATCATAATGCAGCTTGAGATAACAGATCTAAATAAGGTATTTGATCAACTCTCAAGTAATATCAATACATTCTATTTTATCAGTACTATAAACTGATGAATACATGCAGTTGTCTATTTTCATTTAAACTAGGTTTTATTTCATCAAACTATTTTACTAAAGTAATCGATGATTACATATTAATTTTTGCTGTAATCGATTAAATTACGATTACATGTAATCGAAAATGTTGTCGATTACAGATTACTGTCGATTACTTGAAAAAATGTAATCAATTACAATCGATTACGATTACAGATTACGATTACCCCATCCCTGGGTCAAGGTCAGTTGAAATCTGAGACTGACATTGCAAGTTACAATCATTTCATACACCAAATATAGTTGACCTATTTCTTACAGTTCCAGAGATATGGACTCGACCACAAAAACTTAAAGGTCAGGGCTCTCGGTCATAAAACTTGCTCAGTACAAATTTGTGCCAGAACCACCAAATCCAATATTTTGATTGGTCGAGTCTGAGTACGATAATTGTGCTTAAAATTTTTATGACCGCAAGACCAAGCTGACAGATATGAAGACCTTGCAAGGATCCCACACACTAATTAATGTTATCCTATTACTCATTTTAAGTGAGAAATTCGTGTGTATGTAAGATTTTTTAGCAGAAATTGAACCATGAAAATGAGGTAAAGATTAACTGACATATGAGAGATGGAAATTTTAGAAAATAAGGTTTATATATGCAAGGTATGAAGCATCCAGGTATTTTCCTTCTGAAATGTATAGCTTTAAAACAAATAGATAGCATCCCTATCCCTAGACTGACCCCTATCCCTGTTGATATAAGTCCTTACTAATATACTTCCAGGGTGGTTGCAATAAAGAACCAATTACTTATTGTATCTTTATTTCCTGCAATACATTAGAAAAGGTGAACTGATAAGAAATACAATATGTGACACTGATGTTATCTAATACAATGTTTTCAAAATCATTCACATACACTGGGTAGCATAACTACACATACAGATCACAATCAAATGCATGGAAAGTTTCATTCAAAAATATACATACCATCACTTTTATTCAGTTTCCCTCTTTCAAATGATGACCCATGTATACTAGAAGACGAGTGGGTTTCTGTGGGTAAATCACTTTTACTCCATGCTTTAGAAAAGCTCTTGTCGTTGATTTTACTTTTAGGAATATCTTTAAGTAAAATATATTCTAATTATAATATCTACAGGAGAAAGTTCAATATCATACTAAAAGAATTCACTATTTCACAGATATCTCTTTTGAACTACATTAGGGCTGTTCAGTAACAACATACATGGGTCCCAGAGAAAGCACTTCAAAATGTCATCTATGTGTGGGTAATTTTGTGATGTGAAAAATTAAGAAAATCTGTAAAATAGTAACCATAGATGGTCACTCATTTTCAACTTCCCTGGGTACCAAGTATGTTTTAATGGAACAGCCTTTACATATATTTAGATGACGCCTTCAAAATTTCAACCTTTTTTATTTTGTTTTGGATTTTTGATATGCACTAATAATATTCATACTACAATCTCTAACAAGAGTGCACACGCTGAAATGTCTCGCCTTCTTTACTAATCACTGATATTATGTTGATAGTCGTAAATATAAAAATTATTATTACAACTGTCACATAAACTTAACATTAACCAAGAAAATTAAACATTGACCAATGAACCATGAAAATGAGGTCAAGGTCAGATGAACAATGCCAGACAGGCATGTACAGCTAACAATTCTTCCATACAACAAATATAGTTGACCTATTGCATATAGTATTAGAAAAAAAGACCAAAACTCAAAATCTTAACTTTTACCACTGAACCATGAAAATGAGGTCAAGGCCAAATGACACCTGCCAGCTAGACATGTACACCTTACAATCATTCCATACACCAAATATAGTAGACCTATTGCATACAGTATAAGAAAAACAGACCAAAACACAAAAACTTAACTATAACCACTGAACCATGAAAATGAGGTCAAGGTCAGATGACACCTGCCAGTTGGACATGTACACCTTACAGTCCTTCCATACACCGAATATACTTGACCTATTGCTTATAGTATCTGAGATATGGACTTGACCACCAAAACTTAACCTTGTTCACTGATCCTTGAAATGAGGTCGAGGTCAAGTGAAAACTGTCTGACGGGCATGAGGACCTTGCAAGGTATGCACATACCAAATATAGTTATCCTACTACTTATAATAAGAGAGAATTTAACATTACAAAAAAAGTTCTCTTTTTTTTCAAGTAGTCACTGAACCATGAAAATGAGGTCAAGGACATTGGACATGGGACTGACGGAAACTTCGTAACATGAGGCATCCATATACAAAGTATGAAGCATCCAGGTCTTCCACCTTCTAAAATATAAAGCTTTTAAGAAGTTAGCTAACGCCGCCGCCGGATCACCATCCCTATGTCGAGCTTTCTGCGACAAAAATTACATAAATAAAAGTTTGTCTAAGTTAAAATCAATACACTAAGTCATACCATCCCTTAACTTTGTAACAATAATTTGAAGCCAATAATGTCACTTTATCATTATAATAGGTTATATTGATATACTTCTATTGTTAAAAGTCAATAATACAGGACACATATTCATGTGACAATTACTGATCCTTCCATTGACTCACATATGTTTATGCACAGTGATGAGATACTCCGTCCAGTTCAATTTTATCTGATGTAAGCTAAATAAATTTTTGCTCATATGAACTAAATATTTATATTTTTGTTACTTTTGTAAAAGTAACCATATTAACTCTGATGTTTACCTTGACTTCTTCCACGCCTTCTCTTTTCCTTTTGTTCACTCAATCTTTGTAGTGGCAAATCCAGTAAATCTAAATTATAAACCTGTTTTGCCAACATACGAGTCAGTGTTTCCATAGTTTTCTGAAAAAATGAATATCAAATAATGAAATTACAATAGGTGAATTCTTTCTATTATTTGATTCCTTATTCCAAGTGACCCAATAAAAATATTTATCAATTGCATTATGGTAAATCAGCTGTTTGATTAGGTTTTGATCCTAATTTTGCAGATTTCATTGCCAAAAGTCACATGTAAATAGTATATGCATGTTAAATTGACACTGTATGTCATCTGAATATTGCAGTTAAAAATTCAGGCTACCCATTTTCATGATAAACATAACTATGACCCTTGTATTGTAAATGACACCATATCACTTTAGGGAGGTGTGTGGTAGAAGCCTAATTCCATACTATGTATTTTTTTCTAGGCAAAATGATAATTAGAAAAATTTACAAATATGTACAAATATTTCATTTTTTGTCTAAAACTGCTTGGTATCTCAATATGTATATCTATACTGTATATATTTGATTTACACTCTACTTAAGACTACAAATTATCAGATGACTTATTATGGCTGTTTCAAACAGATGAAGATATGTCAACCCTTTGAAAGCATTCAGTATCACTAACAGTTTCTGTTAAGGATTTTGTTGGATCTTAAGATTCTGGTGTTGTTCTTTCTTTGTACAACTTTCTTAATCTGCTTAAAATTGTGAGAGTCCTTAACTGTTTTTTTAAACTTTCAATTTTTAATAATCTTTCTGTGCAAAATTCGCCTGATGTTTGTCAATTATCTGATTTCAACCAAAGTAATGTTTTAAATGTTATGCATTTTTCTTTAAGAATAGATTATTTATAATGTTGTAAGAAAAAAGGCACTGCACCAAGTTAGGCCTTTTGAAAGGCAAAATTAAAGAACAATTCCCTTTTTTTTCAACAGTAGTGAAACAATAATAATATCCATACCGCCCATTCTGTTATTAGTTCAGGCCATGAAGTCAGTGATGACAGGACCTCTAAGAACTTATCCCACAATTCTACACTAATAAAAACATTCAGGTTTGCCTTGATCCAGGTTACTATTAAAGTCTGTAATAAAAAATCAGTACTATTTTTACAACTGCTGTTTTTGTTCATTCAATATCTATTACATGCATAAACAAAATTGTTTGACCCCTCGGCCAGCATTAACTTAATCTTGTCATAATGCTGAGGCAAAATCAAATTTATCTTGGTGTTTTGACTGTTCAAAAGAAAAACTCAAAATCCTTCTCAACAGTCTTTCACCGTTAGTAAAACAAATATAAAGTACACTACATGCTAAACTGAGACTACGTCACCTAAATATGTCAATATGTTATCAAAATCCGAAAAAAGGATGATTTAAGTCAGCCTTTAAATAGGTTGATTGTATTTTGTGAGGAACTTTTTAATGTTAAACCCATATCTCAAAAAAAAAAACACGTGTTTAGCATTCATTGGCATAATGGATGCAACACTAGCCATTTAGTATCTTAATAGGATACATTAAAAGAATATATCTTTAGGCGATCCTGTGATGCAAATTTTAGCCAAATTTAAATTCATGATGTCTTTTAGGTTTAATAATATACTGTAAATGTTGGAAACATTTTAGAGGGGGTCATTTTTTGCTAATTTAGCAATCACATAAAACGTGCAAAATATTCCATTGACAAACAGTTTGCATTAAGGACACATTTATCAATCAATGCATGAAAAGTTAATGCATTGAAATAGCAATAAAATGCTCCGCTTGGCGCAGCTTGATACGACCGCAGAGGTCAAACCCTGAACAGTTGGGGCAAGTATGGACACAACATTCAAGCTTGATACAGCACTGAATTTGGATTGTGATTAAATATTTGACACAGCATAGGTTTCTGACACAGAATGAATGTGGTCTAAGAACTTAAAAAATTTTAATTTACCTCTTCAAACCATATCATTATTATTTGCTTTTATATATAAATCAGAAATAACCAATTTAAAATGGAAAATTTTAAAGAAAAAAAAAAGGAAAAAAAAATCCCCCCCCCCAAAAATTTTTTTTGAACCCCCTTATGATTCATCACCCCAAAACTCAATCCCAGCCTTCCCTTTGTGTTATGGTACCTTGAAGTACAATTTCAGAGAGATCCATACACTTGAACACAAGTTATTGTCTGGAAACTAGAAAAATGCTTGTTTTTTGGCCCCTTTTTGGCCCCAAATTCCTAAATGTTTAGGGCAATTACCCCCAAACTCAAACCCAGCTTTCCCTTTGTGATATGGAACCTTGTAGTACAATTTCATAAAGATCCATACACTTACACATAAGTTATTGTCCTGAAACTAGAAAAATGCTTGTTTTTTGCCCCTAATTCCTAAAATTTTGAGGCAATTACCCCCAAAATCAATCCCAGCCTTCCCTTTGAGGTATGGTACCTTGCAGTACAATTTCAGAGAGATCCATACACTTGAACACAAGTTATTGTCTGGAAACTAGAAAAATGCTTATTTTTGGCCCCTTTTTCCTAAACGTTTTGGGCAATTACCCCCAAACTCGATTCCAGCTTTCCCTTTGTGAAATGGAACCTTGTAGTACAATTTCAGAAAGATCCATACACTTACACACAAGTTATTGTCATGAAACTAAAAAAATGCTTGTTTTTTGCCCCTTTTTGGGCCCCTAATTCCTAAAATTTTAAGGCAATTACCCCCAAAATCAATCCCAGCATTCCCTTTGTGATATGGAACCATGTGGTACAATGTCAGAGAGATCCATACACTAACACACAAGTTATGTCTGGAAGTTACAAAAATGCTTATTTATGGCCCCTTTTTGGCCCCTAATTCCTTAACTGTTGCAACCATAACCCCCAAAATCAATCCCAACCTTCCTTTTGTGGTATTGAACCTTATGGTAAAATTTCATAGAGATCCATTCACTTAAACTAAAGTTAGAGTGCGAAAACCAATGACGCCAACGCCAACGCCAACGTCATACCAATATACGACAAAAATTTGGCGGTCGTATAAAAATAATAATCACTAGAATATCCATTTATGGTAAACAGGTGTGAATCATAAGTAAACATATTCACAAATTTCAAAGCTCAACCAAATTTACAAAACAATTCTATCGATGAACATGTGTTAAAATTACATTCATTACAGGCTATACAGAAGTTCAGAAATATATGACATGCCTGGGCTGATATAGGAGTCTTGGAATAATATTGGGATTGGTAATAAACATGTGTAATAATCTGTATAAAACATTACCTGAAATATTGCTTGTGCTAGTTTTCCTCCTAGTGACTTTTCCTTTTCATTAGGCACTGTGGTTTCAAGCACCCCAGATGTAATAGACAGAAGAACTTGCAACATCTGTTCCCTAAAAAGACAAAATTTTACACTTTTCATAATGCATAAAATATTTGACAACTATGAATTTCTTCGTTATGTTTGGAAGAATACCACTGAATAAGAAGGCAGACTGTCCTGCAGGCATGAAATCAGGGATTATAGACTTGGACAGAGGTAAGCACAGGCAGTGTTTTTGATAGAAAACAAACAATACAATCACTTTAGAGAAAACATCCTTACTGGAAAGCACTAAAATCAGATATACATTAGTGATTGGGGTTCAATTGACTCTTTTGAAAATAAATGTGGATTGTGTCCACATGTGGACACAGATGATGCCACCGCTTGCATATCATATAGTTATAAAGGGACATAACTGAAGAACGGTAAAAGTGATGCTACCCAAATTTGAACTTGATCTGAGTTTTGTGGTAATAAGCATTGTGTGTAAGTCTCATAACATTTGGTTGAGGCTAACTTAAGTGGAGAACAGAAACTAAAAATTCAGCAATTTTTCTATTTGTAAACACGCATAACTCTAGAACGGTTGTGTATAAGTTTTATAACATTTGGTTGAGACAAACTAAAATTAGAGAATGGAAACGAAAAATTCAGCAATTTTTATGTTTATAAAGGGACATAACTCAAGAATGGTAAAAGTGACCCCACCAAATTTCGTATTTTATCTATATTATGTAGTAATAAACATTGTGTATAAGTTTCATAACATTTGGTTGAGGCAAACTAAAGTTAGAGAACGGAAACCAAAAAATTGTACATTATCTTAGTTTTGAGGTAATGAATATTGTGTATAGGTTTCATAATGTTTGGTTGGGGCAAACTTAAGTTACAGAATGGAAACTAAAAATTTTGCAATCTTTCGATTTTTAAAGGGGCATAACTCAATAATGGTTAAAGTGACACTACCCAAATTCAACTTGATCTGTGTTTTATCAGTGGAAGTCAAAATTAAACATTGCATTGTATGAAGCATTGATTGTAGTTGATTCAACAATAATCATGGACAAAGGAAGATAACTCCAATTTTAAAAATTACTTGATATTTAGAAGAAAATAAAAAAATTGCAATTTTTCCATTTATAAAGGGGCATAACTCTAGAACGGTTAAAGTGACGCCACCAAAATTCAAACTTGATCTGTGTTTTGTGGTAATAAGCATTGTGTATAAGTTTCATAACATTTGGTTGAGGCATACTTGTTTAAGAGAACAGAAACTAAAAATTTTGCAATTTTTCCATTTATAAAGGGGCATAACTCTAGAACGGTTAAAGTGATGCCACCAAAATTCAAACTTGATCTGTGTTTTGTGGTAATAAGCATTGTGTATAAGTTTCATAACATTTGGTTGATACAAACTCAAGTTAGAGAATGGAAACCAATTTTGGGACGCAAGGACGGACGTACGTATGTCCGTACAGACAGACAAGGGTAAAACTTAATGCCCCCAACGCCACGGCGGGGGCATAAAAATGTAATGTGATTGCTTCTTAAATTTGGAGGTGTAATGGGTATGACAAACTAGATACCCTAAGGATAATTCAGTTAAAGATTGAAGGTATTTTGCCCAGTAGTTTCAGAGGAGAAATTTCTTGAAATAGTTTACGACGACGACGAGACGACAGCCGAACGATGGACACCAAGTGATGGCATAAGCTCACATGGCCCTTTGGGCCAGGTGAGCTAAAAAGTGACATTCTACCTTCATTTCCACCTCCCCTCCTCCTTTTCAAGTAACAGTGGCAGTCATGTTTGGTTGAGGGCATTAATCATAATTCCCAAAGGGAATATAAATGTATCTTTCTTCAATCAATTGATAGTGATCACTGTCCAGAACATAATCAATTAAACCTTTATTACATTAACAACTAACATAACAGTTATGAAAGATGTTGAATAAAATTGAGAATTGAAATGGGGAATGTGTCAAAGAGACAACAACCAGACAGAAGAGCAGAAAACAGCTGAAGGCCACCAACACAGCAAGAAAATTCTGCACTCGGTGGCAGGCTTCAGCTGGCCCTTAAACAAAAATGTATACTAGTTCAGTGAAAATGGATGTCACACTAAACACCAAAACATATAAATGAACTAAAATTGCAAAACATACAAGACTAACAAAGGCCAGTGGCTCCTGACTTAGAACAGGCGCAAAAATTAAACATGTTTTGATCTCAACCCTCCCCCTATACCTCTAGCCAATGTAGAATAAACAAACACACAGCAATACCCACAGAAAAACTCAGTTTTAAAAAAGTCAGAGTCTGATGTCGGCATATGTAACAAAAGAAACAAAGCAAAATGACAAAGATACATAAATTAACAAAGGAATAATAGCAGTTACTGACATGCCAGCTTCAGACTTCAATTGAACTGATTGAAAGATTATGTCTTCATTATATGAAAATCAAGCACAATCCCTCCCATTCTGAATAACATATAGATTAAGTATTTACCAGGTTCTCTGTTCCATCTTAACATTCATCACAAGGAATCTATAAATATTAAGCACCTTTTTGCAGAGATCAACCTGTCAAGAAAAAATGACTTATTCATGCATTGTAAAATTTTCTGAATAAAACAAAACCATACAGTAAAATTGATGTACATCTTCAAAGATATATGTATGCACTCTTTAGAAAAGTTTTATATAGTTAAGTCTGAAATCTGAAATATTGACTTAACAATCATAATATCATAAATCTTTTGTTATATTTGCTTCTTCAAACTGTTGTACAACACAATATTCTATTTGCATGCACATTTGTCTTAAAACGATATAATCTAATAACTGTCCTGTGCTTTCTACACACTTTGTAAATAGATTGAATTTGTATAATATTGGATGTATAAATTTAGCCAATTGATAGCATGCTACGTTAAAGCATATTTACCTGTTCTACCAACATTTCTGAATCTTCTGTTTGTAGAAGGAAGACATTAGAAGCATTAGTTATAAAGATCTGTAATACTTTCTGTACACCAGCTTGTATATCACAGTGAGTATGATCCTCTGCCAAATCATCTATTGCACCAAGATAGGAAGGATTACGTATACACACACCAGTTTTGTCTAATCGCTCTGATGATGATGGCATGATTCTTCCAGAGTTCATTAACGTTGATTCCTATCATTAATTATTAAAACGATATACATTAGTTGAAAGCAAAATAAAAGACAGGTGTAAAATAAAATCACAGCAGTGCATCTTTATTCTGAAAATTAGAAAAAATTAAAAAAAATCTCACCCATATAAATTTTAATAATTAATGTTTTTAAGACTTGTAATTAATCTTTTTTTTCCAGATTTCACTCTGCTGCCTTTAAGAAGTCAATATTAAATAAAATGATTAAAGGTATCATCTATATTACAGGAAAACATTTTTTCAACACTTAAAGAAGCTAAATTAACATCATTAAAATATGGTCCTTTTGTAAAAGTCAATGAAATTCTACATGACGTTAATTTCATATTTAAAGAAATGAAGAGAATATACAGATGCTGTGATTTTCAAGCAAAAATAGCATGTCATAGTGATTGTATAAATATGCCTGTGTCATTAGTGTGGTACATTGTCCATGCATCCTTTGGCCCTATGATATGTAACAGTTATGTAGTATTAAGAGACAAATCATGCAACTTCATTTAACTCAAATCTGAATGATGCACTTCATCTGGCTCATGCCTAAAAACTATTCAAGTATTGGTAAAGGAAGGGGAAAAAAATAGAACTGTGAGTGAACTCATAGAGAATGACCATTTTTAGCCATGGTGGCCATCTTGGCTCGTGGGCTGGGTCATCGGACACATTTTTTAAACTAGATACCCCAATGATGGTTGTGGCCAAGTTTGATAACTTTGGTCCAGTAGTTTCAGAGGAGAAGATTTTTGTAAAAGTTGACGGACGCCAAGTGATGAGAAAAGCTCACTTGGTCCTTTTGGGCCAGGTGAGCTAAAAAGGATCAAAATTGAATATTTTCTCGAATTATCAATTCCAAAGACAACTTTTTAAGCATGATGTGGCGTTTCCATTTTAGATAGTTTTCACTGTATTATGTAATTGGAAAGAACAGATATAGTGTATAAATTTATGACACAAAATGCCAACATTAAAAAGACAAAATCAAAAGTGAAGGAAGATAATTTGAGAACATTGCTTTTCTTCAGCACAAAGTCACACCAAGGCCTTCAACCATTATAAAATATCACAGCAAGTTTAAGATGCCCTTTCCACTAGCTTGAACAGAATTAGCAATAGATGTGGATCATGTTACATCTATGCATTGATAAACAATATCAACCAATTACAGAGTGTCATATGTTTTAATGCATTACTTTGTATCAATGAAAATTACTCTAGTTACTTTATTTGACATATGCTACAAATTATATTTTCCACTGATTTTCTATGCATTTCAAGAAAGTTTTTACAACTGTTTTCACCTTAATGCAATGAATTATTATCTAAAATAAGAAAATAAAGCTAGTGTTTCTGTCTTTGAAAAAAAACAGACAATGTATCATGCTATCAACCTGTGACCTTTACCTTGAACTCCAACATTGATGTTTTTGCTTATTTTGTTATTATGATTTTGAGATGTTTTATCCTATAGTCTAACATTGTTTTCCCTTCCATGCTGTTTTTTAACCTAACAAAGGATTTGCAAACATGCACATTTCAGAACAGGAAGATAACATATAATCTGTAATTATAATCAACCACTTGATATCATCACAAAAAATTAAAGCAAGCAAACTCTAAAGCTCAGGAGTGGGTTTCACAAAAAAACTTACCACTAAGATTGATCGTAAGTCATGAACAAGTCAGTATACTTACGATCGACCTTAGTCTTAAGTTTTTTTGTGAAACAGACTCCTGCTTAGCAAAAGAATACAGCTGCTGTGTAGCCCTACAATAATATATAGCATTGAATACCTACATCTGATGAAGCATCCTCCTCTAAGATATCAGATAGAGTTGAAGGTATTTCTGCTGTTTCTCTATTATGACTTCCATGCTCCATATCACAAGGCTCTTGCATAAAAATTGGTTTACAATCAGCATGCTGTTTAACAGACAAAGTTGTTAGTATACAACATGCAGATGTCTATATCAAAGTTATCATGCATATACACATGAAATGTATTATCAGAACTATTTCTGTATATCAGCCACAATAAGTAATTTGCACATGCAATTTAAATATAGTGAAGAGAGATATAATTATTTATCCATATATTGCCAGTGTTACTAATGTCAAATCAGCTTATCTCCCATTTGTAGCACAGACAGTTCATATTTAAATAAGGGAAACCACCCAAAAATCTGATGAGATAAGAAATAGTTGGATAATAGTTTTTAAAAGAGAATTTTTCTATACTTTAAGAGGTAAGTTAGAAGAAAAGTTTAAATTTAAAAATTGATTTCCCTTGATTATAAACTAGCACTTGTATATCCTTGATATATGTTCTCTATACTTTATGATGTAAATATCCACATTCATAATTTAACCTGCCTGTATCTTAGTTCAAAAGTTTTTTTGTTTTTTTTTAAATCAGGCTAATCAACCAAGCATTATAAAAATAATAAGCCTACCTGGAACCAATCTTTGTACACACCAATTACAGTTTTTATTGCTTTTGCCTGTTTGAATGTAAACAACAATGCCTGAAAAGATAAGATGTTATATTTATATGGATATTTTTTTTCTCAAATTTATATTGCAAGGCTTTTGTTTATCTAGAAATAAACCAATAAGAACAAGAGTACACACGCTGAAATGTCTCGCCTTCTTTACTAATCATTGATATTATGTTGATAGTCCTAAATATAAAGCTTTCTTACAACTGTCACATAAACTTAACATTAACCAAGAAAACTAAACATTGACCAATGAACCATGAAAATGAGGTCAAGGTCAGATGAACCATGCCAGGCAGGCATGTACAGGTAACAATTCTTCCATACAACAAATATAGTTGACCTATTGCTTATAGTTTAAGAAAAACAGACCAAAACACAAAAACTTAACACTGAGCAATGAACTGTGAAAATGAGGTCAAGGTCAAATAAAAACTGCGCGACTGACTTAAGATCATAAAATATTTCCATACACCAAATATAGTTGACCTATTGCATATAGTATTAGAAAAAAAGACCAAAACTCAAAATCTTAACTTTGACCACTGAACTATGAAAATGAGGTCAAGGTCAAATGACACCTGCCAGCTAGACATGTACACCTTACAATCATTCCATACACCAAATATAGTTGACCTGTTGATTAAAGTGTAAGAAAAACAGACCAAAACACAAAAACTTAACATAAACAATGAACCATGAAAATGAGGTCAAGGTCAAATAAAACCTGCCAGATTGACATGTACATCATTAAATATTTCCATACACCAAATATAGTTGACCTACTGCATACAGTATTAGGAAAACAGACCAAAACACAAAAACTTAACATTGAGCAATGAACCTTGAAAATGAGGTCAAGGTCAAATAAAACATGCCAGACAGACATGAACATCGTACAATATTTCCATACACCAAATACAGTTGTCCTATTGCAAACAGTATTAGAAAAACAGACCAAAACACAAAAACTAAACTATGACCACTGAACCATGAAAATGAGGTCAAGGTCAGATGACACCTGCCAGTTGGACATGTACCCCTTACTATCATTACATACACCAAATATAGTAGACCTATTGCTTATAGTATCTCAGATATGGACTTGACCACGAAAACTTAACCTTGTTCACTGATCCATGAAATGAGGTCGAGGTCAAGTGAAAACTATCTGACGGGCATGAGGACCTTGCAAGGTACGCACATACCAAATATAGTTATCCTGTTACTTATAATAAGAGAGAATTTAAATTTCCAAAAAATCTGAACTTTTTTTCAAGTAGTCACTGAACCATGAAAATGAGGTCAAGGACATTGGACATGTGACTGACGGAAACTTCGTAACATGAGGCATCTATATACAAAGTATGAAGCATCCAGGTCTTCCACCTTCTAAAATATAAAGCTTTTAAGAAGTTAGCTAACGCCGCCGTAGCCGCCGCCACCGGATCACTATCCCTATGTCGAGCTTTCTGCGACAAAAATTCTAATATAATAATACAAAAGCTGTCAATATGAGTAGAGCAAATCAGGTTTTTATTACATTTGTAAGTGTCATTGATAAAGCAACGAAGGGTCGTAATTCTTGAACAACAAAAATTTGCAACCATCAACACCAAACTTGATCTGAATTTTGTCTTCAATAACAACAAATATTTAAAAAGCATTGGTTGAACAATTCTCAACTTGATGTACAGAAACAACTTAAAATGCCATTTTCTAAATCAATCAAGGACCATAAATCCTGAACGGCAAAAGTAAAAATACACAATATCTTACTTGACCTCAATCAAATCAGTAAAAACAAAATCTTGTAATTTTCAAGGTATTGGTTGAACAGTTCTCCAGCTACTGCACAAAAACGACATAAAGTGCCAGTTTCCAATCAATCAAGGACAATAACTCCTGAATGACAAAAGTTATAATCCTTAGTATTGATCCGTAATACCATCTTAAAATTTTAAAAGCATTAGTTGAACAGTTCTCAAGTGATTGGATGAAAACAACATAAAGTACTTTAACCAAATCAATCAAGGACCATATCTCCTGAATGAAAATGACAATCCTCAATGTCAACCTTGACTTGACCTCAAGTCAGTGCAAACATATTAAAATGTGAAAAGCATTGGATTGTACAGTTTATAAGTAATTACCCAGAAATAACTGGAGCTGCTCAAAGGACGTCTGCCCGTCCACCATACCATCCCAAATCAAAAACCCCATTACTGTTTGAAAACCCAGTAAATAGTAGGAGCTAGCAAGAAGCAAAACTCAGAATTGTTTTTTAAAGAGACACGCAACTGATCAAATACAATTATTACTTTACAATAATTTCATCAACCAACTTTATCAAATACTATGAAATAATACAAAATTGTCTAAAGTATTCATAAAGTTAATCAATAAAGAACACCCATTAGGATGGGAAAAAAAACATGTGTTACTAATATGATAATTTAACACAATAACTTTATCTTTAAAAAATATGATATAATATTGGAAATACTTGCTTGTCTGAAAGATTCATGTATAACATTGACATTTTCTCTAGTTGAAAATAAGACACTTCTAACAATATCATTTTCATTTTCAAATTCTTCATAACAAAGGCTTGAGTTGGTAGAATCATGTTCGGAGCCGTGAGATGTTGTTGACAAGGTACTTGTATTGCTGCCTGGCATTCTCTCTGCTGTATTATTCCTAAACTCAACTTGTTCTTTCGATGGATCAACATCTGTGGAATCTGTTGTTTCCTGTTCAGGTTCCCTAAAAATATCCAATAGCCTAAAATATGATGCTGGTTATTTATTTTAGTTCACAGGTTTACTGTTCAAGAACAATGTGATTGCACCCATTGCAAATAAAAATAAATGGAGAATGTACATGGGACACAGATGATGCCCCATCTTGCATATATCGTTATAAAGGGACACAACTCGAGAACGGTAAAAGGGACGTCACCCAAATTTGAACTTGATCTGTATTTTGTGGTAATAAGCATTGTGTATAAGTTTCATAACATTTGGTCGAGGCAAACTAAAATAAGAGAATGGAAAACAATTTTGGGATGTACGCACAGACAGATGGACAGACAAGGGTAACACTTTATGCCCCCTCTGGTGATGGCAGGGCATAAAAAACATCCAAATAACCTGACAATTAACTTTTTCAGCAAAAAAATTCTTTGTTTGATGTTGCCTACCCATGCCTTGTAGGGTTGGGTAGATAGGTAGAGATTTTATTTTTTTGGACTAACAACATAACTTACATGTTTTAGACAAGAAAACGACATAAGAGCAGGAAAAAATCTTTAAAAAAAAACATGTGAACCTATTTGTGTCATAGGTAGGTGCTTCGGTTAGGCTGCTTTTTAGGTGGGTAGGTAGGCAACAACAAACAATCTATATTTTATTGTTGGTCTAAAGAGTTTTCTTTAACAAATGACAACAAATAGAATTTCCTGGATTTGAATTCTTAGATGTTATTTCCGATATTACTGCTGTAAGTATGTAATACCTTGTTTCATCTTCTTGTTTTCTGTTTATCATGAAATGTGCCAACCATTTAATATAAGAATATCTACATTCTGCCACATTATTGGGCAAGTCCTTACTCTTCATATCTTCCATCTTCCTGACACTTGGTAAATCTATAATTCATATATAAGATACAAAAAAATAAGACAATGCTTTATATACATGATAACTCTACAATCTTATATTGTCATTAAACATTCAATCAAATCAAATACAGTAGATTATCACTTTCAGTGTGAATAACATTACTTTTTTTTAATAAATAAAACATTACACGAAAACCAACTACTGTAAATTCATTAATATTCATGTGTATAGGTAACAACCCAATTTACATATTTGAAGAAGTACACATTATCTAAATGTTTGTATGTAGACTTTTGCAAAACCACGAAATCTAATATCCACGAAAAATAAATTAATCCACAGTATGCCATTGTTCTTTCTGTGGAATGGGGTATGAGTGGTCAAGATAGCTGAACAAATTATGTGACTGCATGTTAATATGCAATTTTACCTCCTCTCAACAACAGTTATGACAAAAAATTAATATACATGTATATGTGCATGACATTTCAAGTATATAACTTTTTGACAAGCTCTTATAATTAAATTTTGGACGTATGATGTGTTCTGATTGGCTATAAGTTTTTTGTCTACCAGCTCATAGACATAATTTTGTCACGTGACCTTGATGTCACCAACTTTTTATTTTCATGATTTACTCCTTAGAAATGGAATTTAGAGTTAAATTATAAGGAAAGACTGTAATATTTTTTCTGTCTATTCGAAGTAACCTAGGAAAATGTGGTGCACATCTTTAAATATGTGCACTTTTTGAAGTTGTTTCTTCACAGACAGAAAAAATACTAGTCATTCCTTAAGTAATATGATATATTGTTCAGGACAATATTCCTTATATTAGTGCAATAAATCTATAAGATTGTTTCATTTACAACTGTTCCTCATCTCACTTCCTTTACAATATATTTGATTAATAATATTTACCTAGGTCTGGCCTGTAAACACTACTATTTTTATCAAAATCTGGTAACAACCATTTTAGGTAAGATGACTTAAACTTATAAAACAGAAAAACAAATCCGGTCTCTCTCATTCTGTCATTAAGCCATACAATTTTAGACACCTGAAACAATAGGCAGTAAAACATTATATTATAAATCAAACATTAAGAATAATTTCAATTAAATTTGTTGCATAATATTCATGTGATACTGATGTTTGCTCTACACATGGTCTGTTATGGTCCAATATTTAAGTCACTCCTGGTGTGTAACAAAAAGAGTAATTTTATTATAACTATATAATTACTTGCATGTTTTCTTCAGTAGTGTATACAATATACAAAAAGTTACCTTTTTTGAACATGTTAAATGTTAAGCTTTATTAAAGTAAATACGATTTTTCTTTCTTAGCATACCCTACCTACTCAAAAAGCATAAACTTCTTTTTAGTAAAAACCAAATTTTTGCTCTCAGTAATGAGATGTTATAGAAACTGAGAATATTTTCAAATCCATATCTATATGATCCTATATAATACATTTTTAAATTTTCTATAGCCTACCTCTGACACTAAGTAATATATGAGACAGTCAAAGAAATGTTTTGTAACATTATCTGGAAGTTTCTCTCCACTGCTGGGTAGAATTGGTGTAATTTCATCAGGCGATATCATCCCACCAAAACCTAATAATAATATTTAATCATTAAAAAATGCAACATGTCCCACAATATTTCAAAGTCTAGCTAAATGTTTATACAACTTAATTTCTTCAAACTGAAAAATAAATTTTTTAACTGTAAAAATATAAATGGAAAAGGCTTGTTTCAATTAAGTTCTCTTACTGTCTGCAGTTGATTTACTCTGGAGGGCTGTTTGATCTATACCATCACCCAAACCAGGAACCAGTTGTAGAAAAATATCATGACATTCCTCTGAAGCACTCTCCTGTAATATCTGGTACCAAATAATGAACAATCGCATTCCTTCTTTTCTTGTCTAAAATTAAAAACAAAGACTCCTTAAAATAACACATAACAGTGAGCATCTGATGATATTGGTACTAATAATCAACTTTGGCAATAACTTTGCTTTGCCTAAGTGAAAAGTAGGATAAACTGTTATTTATCAAGTGTAACTAGAGATGTGCAATAGCAATTGGTCTTCTGATATTCTGACTACACAGATCCTTGTCCATTTAATCCTTCAAATGGTTATCATATTCAAAAGTTTGGTAACTTTTTTTACAGATTAATTAGCTTCTCAATGACAGTGATTTATTTATAATTCATATGCAAATTATGTAATATATTTGATTTGTATAAAGATGTATCCGTTATGTTATCTTTTGTTTAAATTAATGTAAACAATGCAGGAAATATATGTTTAATGAAATATCGAATTGTAAAAAAATTACTAGAAATGAACATATATATTGTGAAAAAAATTCGTAAGGGTTACGTGGAACCCAGTGTCTCGCCTACTTTTGCTGTTAATGGCAGGCTCAACAAAAATGAGGAAAAAAATTAATAAAAATATTCCTCTCTATACTATCTTTTGATTGTAAGTAGCTTCTGTCCAAGTTTGGTAAAAATCCAGGATAGTTTATGAATCTAATAAATGTTTTAAAAACTTAAATTGCAGACTGTATGTAATGTTAACTTGAAGAAAAACTAAGTCCATTTATAAGTAAAATACGGAAAAAATGGAACAAAATTTTAACAAAATTTCCTTCTAGATACTAGCTTTTAATCATAAACAAGCTTCTGTCCAAGTTTGGTACAAATCCAGGATAGTTTAAGAAAGTTGTTAAAACTTTAAAAACTTTAACCACAGAGTGAATGTAATGTTAACTGGCAGAAAAACTAAGTCCATTTATAAGTAAAATACGGAAAAAATGGAATTTTTTTTTACAAAATTTACTTCTGGATATTATCTTATGATCATAAACAAGCTTCTTTTCAAGTTTGGTAGAAATCCAGGATATTTTAAGAAAGTTATCAAAATTTCAAAAACTTTAACCACAGAGTGAATATTTGTTGACGCCGCCGCAGACTCCGACGGAATGTAGGATCGCTAGTCTCGCTTTTTCGACAAAAACGAGTAGGACTTTTAATTTTCCGGTTATTATTAATTATTACTTTAAGATTTAACTTATTCTGAAGAGTCGCTTCATGCAATTGATTGCGGTAACATTTATACTGGAGCATAACTGATCATTTCCTTTTGCTGAAGCCAAGAAAACTTTGATGAAAATTTTCCTTGTACAATGAAGTGTTGAAAAATTTCAAACTATCGGCAAACAGGAAGTGGATACACAGCAGATGTAAATATTGCTTACTCCCTACTACTCAACATTATCGAGCTGCAGGCAAATATTAAATAATACCCTTCCATAGGAGCAGAGAAATCTTTGACGAAAATTTTCATTGTACAATAAGTGTTGTAAAATTTAAAACTTTTGACAAACAGGAAGTTGAACATTTCAGATGTAAAAATTGCTTAATCTCTACAACTCAACCTTACAAAGCTGTAGACCAAATATTTAAAACATTCCCTTTCATAGAAATCAAGAAAACTTTGATGAAAGATTTCTTACGAATGGACAGCTGACAGAGTTGATGGGTTACTAACCCTACTTCTGCCTTAAGCACAGGTAAAAATACAACCATAATTTTGACAGTGTTTTGTGTATTAATAAGTAATTATTTTTTCAAATAAACTTATATTTACCTTTATACCATTTCCAGGATGAAGAAGTTTCTTCATTATTCGACCTATAAAAATAAAATAATATCTAAATTATTCCAAAGCCTGTAATCACTTACCTGCCAGTATTGTGTATTAAGTGTATGTGTATTTCTCGTTGCATTAAATGAAATTTATGGTCTGCAAAAGTGATCTATATATTTGAATAAATCCATTGAAAAAAATTATGAAAATTGTACAGATGACTTCCCATGCAGATGAACTCACCAATACTGTGAAACATCCATCTTCTTTGAACTAACTCTGGTAACAACAACAGTATTTTCTGAAAAAATAAAATTGTAAATCTATAAGATATGTTATATGGATGTGCTTACAGTGAAATTCAAAGCAGTCTTAATTTTTATTTCAAATGTTTCAAATATTTTATTTAATAGATAACAGTTTTCTAATTTACATTTACAAATACTAACTTTCACTAATTTATTTGAAAGTCGAGCTGGTATTGAACAAGAAGCTTATGCTTACGTAGTTTTGTTTGATTTCTTAATTTTCTCACTGGTTTTGCATGTTATTAGGGTGTATGATAACTCTGTTTAATTACCTGATTCACATATTTACTTATTGTGCATAATATTTATAGGACATTTGAATGTTTTACGCTCCTTGGTATCTTAATAAAGCCCTTTTGTTTTCTACGGTTCTTTCAATGGTCAGTCTATTAAACAGGGTTCTAACTAAGGTGAGTATAGGACTCATGAAAATCTGTCTGGACTCATCATTTTCTAAAATGGTGAGTCCAAAGATACATCAAGATTGTAAAATGTTGTATCAAACATGTCAGATGAGCACATATGTCATCATTTGATAACAATAGTTTCAAAATAATATAAATTTGGTGTAATTCCCATGCCCTATTTTGTCATGGGGACTGAATTAATAAATTATATAGCAACAAAATTCCATCTTCTCAGTGTTGAACTCGCCATGGCCAAAAATGACAAGTCCCTAAACTCGCCTTCAAAAATCCTTAGTTAGAACCCGGATTGAAGAAAAGGAATGAGAACTTATTTTTTTCTCCTCTACAACAAAAAAGTTTTATATAAGAGAACAAAATTGTTTGATCTATTCAGATTAAAGTAAAATAACTCTTAAACATTAGTTACCGGTAGCATAAATTTCTCTTCAACAGAGATTTTCAAACTTTTTTGTAAGATCTAATAAATGAAATTTAGATCCACATCTTGGTTTCTTCTGTGTATAAGAGAAGTACAATGTGTGTCTATTACTATTTTCTATGACCTTTGGGTTTAAACAATACCTCAAATACATTAAGAATTCCTTCCAATTCTTCTCTGTGTGCTTTATTGGCTGCAAGGAGAGAATAGTGTTTGTATAAATTGTGCTTCCACTCTTGTAAAAAAAAATTATTACTATTATTTCTATTATACAGTTAGTAGAGTTAATTTTTTCTCCATATATCTACATTGACTATATTCCATTAAAGCCTAAATTTTCTCATTTATGTATTTTATTGACTGTTGTTGTTTTTTTTTTAATGAAAACAATAAAATTAGATAAACTACCATTCATGTACATATTAACTGTATTCATATGCCAATTACTTGTCTATATTTACATGTGTTGTATGATCATTCCCACACACATTTCTATAAATATAATACTACTTAAGATATAGTATATATATGATGTTTTCGTAATTGTTGGTCAATCTTTTAGCCCAGGCCAGTCATTATTTTTCTGAAAGAGGCCTCACAAATCATAAAACAAACTGATTTTCAGACTTATAAGTCAAAAAGTTTTTGTGAAGACTGCTACTGCAACCCAATCATATCTGTATGTTTATCTTACCTCTCTGCTTTAAATCTGCTTCTACTGTAGCAAAATTGTCATTAAATATGTAATATATGTGGGAGTAATTGGATTCAAAGAATGCTTTAGCCTCAATAACTTCATAATTATCTACAAAATAAAATAAAAATACATGTATATTATATAATGAATACATTGGGTTTCTTTCTGATAAAAAGTAAGATGTCAGCCTAATGTATTTAATTTAGTTGAATAGGGACAGAAATTTTGCCTTTCAACAGGCTACCTATTGACCCCTCAGGGATGTTACAAGGGATCTTTAACTTGCAGAGAGAGTGGCACACTTCCTAAACGGGGCATCAGAATGAACAACCCCATTATGACCAAATGTTGCTGCATAATTAATATTTCCATTTTGATTTAATTTTTTTTCCTAGATTCTTTCCTGTTCACTTAACTTCACCACCAATTCTAAAGTCATATTTTGTTATCCATATGCAATAGCTTCTAACTGCATAATATTATTTGTTAAAATAAGCTTTTGAAAATTATCTTAATCACTGGGCAAAAGCAGCATGATGACTGTCTTACAATGTAGTCAATAAACCAGTAAAAATTAGGCCATCATAAAAAAAATGTAGATTCTCCCCACCCCACCCCTATCCAGATTCTTAGAGTAGACAAGGCAGGCATTTTTTTTTTATTTCAGTATATTTTGTTTTTATTTATTTGTGTGTATGCTTTTTATGCAAATGATACTGTCCTTTGTTGTTTTTTATGCAATATTATACACTGATAGTGTAAATGTATTTTCAACCAATTTCTGCATTTAATGGTTTCATAAATTGCACTCATATGAGTTGCACATAAATGTATTATATCTTATCACTATTAGCACATTCAACAGTAGTTTCTTTGTACGTACTATTTAGTTCTAAATCATCCTCTGCTTCAAGTGGTCAATCTGATGTGTTTATATATTTATGTAACAACCTCTGTAATACTATTTTGGTTTTTCAAGTCTTATATAATGTTTACCATGTACTGACAGAATGTAAAGAAACCTGTTTTTATTAACACTTCTATGTAACATAGAAGCAAGGTGAGTGGTGTTCTATTTCAATGATTATTATGGCAAAAAAAAATGATTATGTAATTCTGGCCATAAAAAAGAATAGGTTGGTTTGCCCTAACCAGACCGATCCATAAAAAAGCACCCAAGTCAAAATCATTTTTTATTCTAAATTTGCAATGTTTTTTTTTTTAGGATTTTTTTCGTATCCATATCCATCTTGAGTTTGTTGCATAGAATAACCTGATCCGGTCTGACGGCGCTTTATCACAGGACAATTTGTGTTATGTATAAAAGCCTCCAATTGATACAGATGAAAATCAACATGTTACCCTCTCGTTTGGATTAAAATCAAAACTTGTAATTTCCAACAAAATCTATCGTTTTGAAAACACAATAAAATGCTTCGCTGAGCGCAGCCTGATACGACCGCAGAGGTCAAACCCTGAACAGTTTGGGCAAATTTGGACACAATATTCAATTTTGAAAAAAAAATATGAATCCCTTAAAAAAATTAGAAAAAAAAATCCCCCCCCCAACTTTTTGACACCCCCCTTGGAGCAATAACCCCAAAACTCAATCCCAGCCTTTCCTTTGTAGTATGGAACATTGTAGTACAATTTCAGAGAGATCCATACACTTACACACAAGTTATTGTCTGGAATTGTCTGGAAACTAGAGAAATGCTTGTTTTTGGCCCTTTTTTGGCCCCTAAATCCTACATGTTTGGGGCAATTAACCCCAAACTCAATCACAGCCTTCCCTTTGTTATATGGAACCTTGTGGTACAATGTCAGAGAGATCCATACACTTACACACAAGTTATTGTCTGGAAACTAGAAAAATGCTTGTTTTTGGCCCTTAATTCCTAAACTGTTGGCCCCATAACCCCTAAAATGAATCAAAAACCTTCAACTTGTGGTATTAAACATTGTGGCACAATTTCAGAGCAATCGAAATACTTATACACAAGTTATTATCCTGAAACTAGAAAAATGCTTGTTTAAGGTCCCTTTTGGGCCCCTAATTCCTAAACGGTTGAGACCATTATCCCCAAAATCAATCCCAACCTTCCTTTTGTGGTATCGAACCTTCTTAAAAAATTTCATAGAGATCTATTCACCTTAACTAAAGTTATTGTCCGGAAACCAATGTGTCTTCGGACGATGACGCAGACGACGACATCATACCATTATACGATCCCAAAAGTTTTTTTGCGGTCATATAAAAACATGGAAAGAGGTGTTTGATTAAGTGTGTGATGACGATTTTATGCTGCGGAAAACTGATGAAATTTGTGTGACTGTCTCTGACCGATCAGGACACTCGTTTGAGCCCGATTTTGAGGAACCAATCCAAGTGTTCAGGAATTTGATTTGGCATTAAAATTTGCTGCATTTGTTGTAAATAGATACAGTTTAAAACCAGTTATGGCATGATACGGGTTATGTTCTTCTCATATATTTTGGGGCCTCGGTGGCTGAGTGGTCTAAGTAGTTACTACTGTAATCACTAGCAAGTCAACACTGAGGTTGTGAGTTCGAACCCCGCTCGTGCAGGTGCACTCGACTCCAATCTTAATTGACTAGGATTGTCAGTTTTCCTATCGAAGTTCGGTGGTATTCTCTAGACACTCCGGCTTGCTCCACCAATAAAAACTGGCCGCTACGAAATAGCCCAAAAGCAGTGCTTAAAAGTGGCGTTAAAACACCAAAAATCAATCTCATATATTTTAAGATGGTATGATAGTTTTTGATACTAAACCCCTTACGGGAGGGATTGTACTTGATTTTCATATGATGAAGACATACTCTTTTAATCAGTTTAATTGAGGCCTGGAGCTGGCATGTCAGTAACTGCTAGTAGTCCTTTATTTGTTAATTTATGTATCATTGCCATTTTGTTTAGTTTCTTTTGTTACCTATTCAGACATCGGACTCAGACTTTTTTAAACTGAGTTTTACTGTGCATATTGCTGTGTGTTTGTTTTTTCTACATTGGCAAAAGGTATAGGGGGAGGGTTGAGATCTCACAAAACATGTTTAACCCTGCCTTATTTTTGTGCCTGTTCCAAGTCAGGAGCCTCTGGCCTTTGTTAGCAGGTTAGTCTTGTACGTTTTTTTTAATTATAGGTCATTTATATGTTTTAGAGTTAAGTGTGAAGTCCATTTTCACTGAACTAGTTCACAATTTTATTTTTGTGCCAGCTGAGGACCACCTCTAGGTGGGGGATTTTGTTGCTGCGTTGAAGACCCATTGGTGGCCTTTGGCTCTTGTCTGTTCTTTGGTCGGGTTGTTGTCTCTTTGACATATTCCCCATTTCCATTCTCAATTTTACGTATATATGTGTCTGACAATTTATACAAAATTCTATAATAGTCTTAAGCTTTCATTGTAAAAGTTGTTAAAAGGTAAAATAATTTTGACCCTTATTTTTCTCTTAAAGTATAAAAAAAAAAAAAAAATCCCTACCTACCTACCCACACCTGAGACTGGTGGGTAGGGTTTGGGCAAACAGAAATATTTTTAAGTCTGGCCTCAGAAGCCCTTTCACCTTTCCTGTGTTAGAATAGTGTATTCTAACGCAAAATGATAGCCCTGGCAATGTTGCCCTCAATCCTTCATCCATGAGACCTAATCATTTGTATATTTATATACATGTATAAGGTGTGTGTTATAATTGCAGATTCATTAACATGAAGAGCACTAAAATTTTGAGAAATACCAGTAATTTCTAATTGCCAAACCAATATCTGTGGGTCAGGATTTTTTCCCTGAAATCTGGTAAACAATAAAATGCTCCGCTGGGCGCAGCTTGATACGACCGCAGAGGTCGAACCCTGAACAGTTGGGGCAAGTATGGACACAACATTCAAGCTTGATACAGCACTGAATTTGGATTGTGATTAAATATTTGACACAGCATAGGTTTCTGACACAGAATGAATGTGGTCTAAGAACTAAAAAATTTTTAATTTACCTATTCAAACCATATCATTATTATTTGCTTTTATATATAAATCAGAAATAACCAACTTAAAATGGAAAATTTTAAAGAAAAAAAGGGAAAAAAAAATCCCCCCCCCCAAATTTTTTGAACCCCCAAACTCAATCCCAGCCTTCCCTTTGTGTCATGGTACCTTGCAGTACAATTTCAGAGAGATCCATACACTTGAACACAAGTAATTGTCTGGAAACTAGAAAAATGCTTGTTTTTTGGCCCCTTTTTTGGCCTCAAATTCCTAAATGTTTAGGGCAATTACCCCCCAACTCAAACCCTGCTTTCCCTTTGTGATATGGAACCTTGTAGTACAATTTCATAAGATCCATGCACTTACACACAAGTTATTGTCCAGAAACTAGAAAAATGCTTGTTTTTTGCCCCTTTTTTACCCCTAATTCCTAAAATTTTGAGGCAATTACCCCCAAAATCAATCCCAGCCTTCCCTTTGAGGTATGGTACCTTGCAGTACAATTTCAGAGAGATCCATACACTTGAACACAAGTTATTCTCCGGAAACTAGAAAAATGCTTATTTTTGGCCCCTTATTCCTAAACGTTTTGGGCAATTACCCCCAAACTCAATTCCAGCTTTCCTTTTGTGATATGGAACCTTGTAGTACAATTTCATAAAGATCCATACACTAACACACAAGTCATTGTCCAGAAACTAGAAAAATGCTTGTTTTTTGCCCTTTTTTGGCCCCTAATTCCTAAAATTACGAGGCAATTACCCCAAAAATCAATCTCAGCCTTCCCTTTGTGGTATGGTACCTTGCAGGACAATTTCAGAGAGATCCATACACTTGAACACAAGTTATTCTACGGAAACTAGAAAAATGCTTATTTTTGGTCTCTTATTCCTTAACGTTTTTGGCAATTACCCCCAAACTTAATTCCAGCTTTCCCTTTGTGATATGGAACCTTGTAGTACAATTTCAGAAAGATCCATACACTAACACACAAGTTATTGTCATGAAACTAGAAAAATGCTTGTTTTTGCCCCCTAATTCCTAAAATTTTGAGGCAATTAGGCCTAAAATAAAATATTGTTTGTTTCCCCAATCCCGACCGACCC